GGGTTTTATTTATTTTTACATATGGATATATAATTGCTATACTACCATTTGTGTCAAAGACTGTACATTCCTAATTAAATTATCTTGATGTCTTTGCCAAAAAATAACCATCTGTTTATGGGTCACTTTCTCAGCTCTATATTCTGTTTCACTGACCTACATGTCTGTCTTTATGCCAATGCTACAGTCTTGATTAGTATCCAAATTGCTTAAAAGCCAATTTTCAAATTGGGTAATGTGAATCCTTCAACTTTTTTTCTTTATATACACACACACACACACACACCACATACATATATATATATATATATATATATATATATATATATATATATGTATATATATATATATTTTTTTTTTGCTATACAAGTTCTTTACTTTTCCATATGTGTTTTTTAGAGTATTCTTATTAAATTCCTGTAGAAAAAAAACAAACCCTGCTGAGATTTTATATTTTTATTTTTTTAGTTGTAGTTGGACACAATACCTTTATTTATTTTTATGTGGTGCTGAGGATCAAACCCAGTGCCTCACATGTGCAAGGTGGGTGCTCTGCCACTGAGCTACAGCTCCAGCCCCCTGCTGAGATTTTAATGAGGATTGCATTACAGATAGAGAACAACTTTGAATTAACTTCAGAGCAATATTGAGTTTTTACTTTCATGGACAAACTTTCTCCCTCCATTTAAGACTTCTTTAATTTTTTTTAGAAATGTCTTACAGTTTTCAGTGAATAAATCTTTACTGTAGACTTATCCTTAAGTTCTTCATGTTTTTAAAACTTTAGTTTCTAATTTTTCTTTGCCAGTATACAGAACTATATTCATTTTTTTATATATGGACCTTATATCAGTGACTTTCCTAAGCTCTGATTATAAACATTTGTGGCTTTTTGTAGAGTCCTTGGAATTTTCTATACGTATAACTATAACATCTAGGAATAAAGGCAGCTTTATGTCTTCCTTTCTAAGACGTGTACCTTTTCTTTTTCTTGCTTTATTTGTAAGGGTTGAGACTTCTAGTACAGGTCTGAATGGAAATGGTAAGAATGGTTATCCTTGCTTTGTTCCTAAGTATGGGGAAAGTCTTTTGCCAGTATGATGTATGCTACTAGTGGGTTTTACTTAGATCCTTTTTATCATGCTGAGGAAGTTTCCTTCTTTTCCATTTCCAGGGAGAACATTTAACATGCAAAGAATGAATTTTATCAAATATTTTTCACATTCTATTGACATTTTTCTCTTTCTTTTTATTTGGCAATAGTGAATTTTTTGATTGGTTTTGAAATTTTTTTAGCTGAAAAATTATGTAATGTTGATTTTGTTATACAGTTTAAGATATGTTGGGAATAGAATAAAAAGAGATAAATTGTTTTAAAAGACTGTTCTAATAGCTAATACTATATTGGAAATTAGATTAGTGGTATTCTAACACTTTTGTATTTTTTAAATTTGTTCTAATAAGTTACACATGACAGTAGAATGCATTTTGACACACTGCACACAATGGAGCACAACTTCTCATTCTTCTGGTAGAACATGGTGCAGTCACACCAGTGGTATAATCATACATGTACATAGGTAATGATGTTTGAAATCTTGAACCAACCTTGTAAACCTCATTAAGGGTAAACCTCATTAAGTCATAATGTATTATATTACCCTTTTTATAATGTCAGATTCATTTGCTAATTTTTTTAACATTTATGCTCTGGATTTTTAAAAATTTTCAGGAATTTTATTGTGGTAAAATACAGATAACCTGAAGTGTGTCATTTTAAACATTTTTAAGTGCAGAATTGTAGGGCATGAAATACATTCATATAGTGCAACCATTACCACTATCCATTTCTAGATCCTTTTCATCATCCCAAACTGAAACTTTGTACTTTGTTTCTCATTCCCTCCTCCTACCCCAGACCTTGGAATCACTATTCTACTTTCTGTCTTTATGAATTTTATTATTCTAAGTACCTCAAGTAAGTAAAATTCTATAATATATGTACATTTTTGCCTGGTTTATTTTACTCAGCATGTTTTTAAGGTTCATTCATTCATAATATATATTTTCTTCCTTTTATGTACATACCACATTTCACTTATCTATTTGTTTATGGATATTTGGGTTGTTTCCACCTTTTGGCCATGTGAATGATGCCACTTTAAAAATTGCTGTAGCCAGGTGTGGTGGTGCACACCTATAATCCCAATGGCTTGGGAGAATGAAGTAGGAGGATTGAGAGTTCAAAGCCAGCCTCAGCAACTTAGTGAGAATGTGTGTGTCCCAAAATAAAAACGGTTGGGGATGTGGCTCAGTGGTTGAGTGCCCCTGGGTTCAATTCCTGGTACCAGAAAAAAAAAATTGCTGTATAACTAGCTCTTTGAGTCTGTGCTTTTATCCTTTTGGGTATATTCCTGGAAGTAGAATTGCTGGATCATATGGTGATTATATGTTTAATATTTTCCATACTGTTTTGTGCAGCAGCTATACCATCAGCAATGCACAGGGTTCCAATTATCTCACAATCCCAACAACAGTTATTTTCTATCTAAGATAGTCATCCTAAAGGATGTGAATGGTGTTCATGGAGTTTTGTATTCTATGTTCATAAGAGATACTGGTCTGTAGCTTTCTTTTAAAAAATTGGGTGTAAGCATTTTGGATAAATAAGAGAAACAATGAGAAGACAAAGATGACCCTGAGGTTTCTTGGTGTCTAGAGTAACAGGAAATCCTGGGTAAACATTATATTTGAAAGGTCAGAAGAGGAAGGATGGGTACAAAAAATATTGATTTAATATTGAGAAATTTGAGCTCACAAGGATTGCAGGCCATCCTGATAGAGATGTATCATTAGCAGTTGAAAAAACATGACTAAGTTTTGAGAAATGAGTAGGGACCAGAAATACAGATTGCCAGCCTAAGGATAGTAGCTGAAATCACAGAAACATGAGGCTCTTCCTAATGAAAGAGTGAAAATTGAGAAGAGGTCCAAGAAAAGAACCTTGAAGAGCCAAAATTTAAGGATGTGGCAGCAAAGAAACAGCCAATAGAGACCAAGAAATAACAATTGAAATTATCATATGAGTGCCAAGAAGGAAACCAAAGTGGAATGTAGTATCAGAAAGGACTAATTCTCTAACATTTAAATTAAGTTCAATTTTATTTTCCCCTTCTATCCCAGCCAGTAAGCATGCTCATCACTAATTATTAGTTATCCATCCTTTTTAGTGAGAAAGAATAACTGAGTTAATAGGGAGTAACCATAAAGTCACAATTATGGTTAAAAAGTAGAATTCTTTTGGCATCAAACGCAATGCCCTAAATTAAGCCAGTTTCTATTTTAAGTGTGAGAAATAAAGGTCAAGATTTTTTTAAAATTGTAAACTTCTTATTAGCATCTTTAACTCAAAACCACACCAGGAAAAAAACAATCCTTGAAAACAACCAGTTAGGCATTTAAAAATAACATTTATTTTTAAAAATCAGGATAACACACTATATTTACTCACATATATTCCTGTTTGTTACCAGATATTTTCAGCAAATAGACCTCTTTAAGCATCTTCATCTGCTTTTATCAAACCTTCAAAGTGGCTCCTGCTGCTGTTGACAATCACAGCAGCCTGCTGGGGGCAAAGTATGGGGAAAGAAAAATAATCATGTATTTCTCAAAATTCAGAAATAATGAAACAACTGAGTGGGTGTAATGTGCATATGTATGTTATCAATGAAGGCCAAATACTGGTATAATTTTCACACATACTAAAAAATACATAATAATATAATTACATTTATTAACTCAATCAACTAATACAATTTTATATCATTTAAATCTATCAAATTCCAGGTTTGGCATAATAGTTACTAAAGTGATATAGGTGATGCTTCTTGAAACTATGGCATGTTTAAACACACATGATCTTCTAAAAAAGGAAGTTGAGCATTAAATATGGTAAATGATGAAATCAGAGTCATTACCTGAAATAATGCTTCTGCAGGTAGGAGGAATACAAAATATGAATTAAATATGTATGTATAGATGGATTTTACCTCCTACAAAAATCCTTCTCATTCTGCAAATACCGTCTATGTTCATAAGAGATGCAGAGATATATTACTTGGTCTTTGCTTTCAAGCAGCTCATTCTGTGTGGGGGAGTTGATGTGTACCACTGTGTAGCAGGAGAAGCAACAGGAGTACGGAGGCTTTGAAGCTGTTGAAGGCTTCCGAAGGAAGCAGCAGGTGATCATTTTAGGTATTAAGAGTTTAACTAGACAACCAAATGAAGATGAATGGGTGGTGGTGGTGGGAGGAAAGTTTAGAGGCACATAATGATCCTGCTTGAGAAGCAGCCAAACATGTCCGGGGAGATGGGTGCAGCAAGGCATTTTCAGGGGGTGGTGACAGGTATGCAGTGAAAGGTAAAGGCCAGAAAAGGGCAGGGAGTGGGGAGGCTGACAGGGGATAGCATTGAGGATTTTAGGTGCAGGAAGGAGAAATTGAAGGTAAGAATACAGGATGATGTGTCTAGAGCTGTCTGTTGGAAGACTGTTTCCCCGAGAAAAACAGATTTCAAGGTGAGACAGTCCAGCCATGTAAGAAATCTGTAGTATATTTTAAAGTCTGAACAAAATTTTCCAATCTTAAAATATGAGGAAATAAACCGAGGGAAAAAAACACCAGTAAATTTTTTTAAAACATGATATCAATGTAATGGTGCCTTTTAGTTATAGACTGGTGAGGTTCTAGAGATCAATCATTTCATCTGGTAAAGAAATGGAAATCCAGGGAAGTGAAGGGATTTGATCCTATTTATATTATGTTAGAAGTAAAGTCCAAAGTAGGATAGATTTCAGGTTAAGTTCTTCTTCCACATCATCTGTTGTTCAATAATGTTGGACAACAATATTATTCTTATTATATATATATATATATATATATATATATATGTGTGTGTGTGTGTGTGTGTATATATATATATGTATATATACACACAGATACATATGTATGCATGTATATACATATATGTGGTCATCATCTTTAAAGAATTCTGGTTTAATCAGGGATAAGAGGATAATTTATCCCCCCCCCAAATTTTTAATTACCAAGTATTAAAATTAAGCATTTTTCCAAGGGAGGGCCTGAGAAAAACATGTGTGACTATATGAATTATACATAAATATGCTTAAAAATTTGGATGATAACAGGAATGCCAGACTCATAAATACAAATTCTTAAATTAATACAAAGTTAGGTGTTTCATGTTATATGTAAGTGCAAACAATTTTTACTGAGTACTTAATAGCAAAAAAAAAAAAAAAGAAAAAGAAAAAGAAAAAAATGCTACTACAAAGAACAGAAATCACAGAAAAACAGAACATGTAGTCCCTCTCACTAGTGTATAATAACGAAACAGGATTTGAATACCTGAAAAATACATTATACCTAACTAAGCAAACTTAAGAAATACTATCTCTTTAATTAGATATATATGCTAATTATACAAAGAAGAGAGAACTCTATATAAACAAAAATAATAATTCTATATAACCAAAAATATAGAACTCTATATAACCCAAAATACACACACATATACACACACACACTTTTCAATGAGGAAAAAAAATCATCTGAGAAGAGAAAAAAATGTGAAAGCAAAGCAAAGGACTGAAATGTCAAATATTACCAATATAGAACTAAAGAGAAATAGAGAAGCACCACATAAAGTAGTGTTATAATAAGAAAGGGAAAAGTGGAATTGTGAAGCCTATGAATATGTACAGAATACCACAGAAATTTGTATTCCTTGTTATTTACTGGATTATTTTGGAAAGGAACAAGAAGACCCAAGTTGGCAAAAATAAAGCAAAATTCTAAGATAATTAATGAATGATTTCACTTGAGAAGTGTGACCATGATGGGCTATATGTTAGATACACAGGATTCAGTCAGATTATGGATTCAGATTAAATGTTCAAACCAAAGCATCATGACTCCATTCTAAAATTTGTACTAGAAGAAATTCAGATTCATTTAAAATGTATGAGACAAAAAACTAAAAAGAAAACCTGTTTTTGGAAGATGCAACATTGCTGGACTGGGTTATTGTGAAGATGACATAAGACATTTACTTGGTATCTAGTTAGTGCACAATAACTATCAGATGTAATGATCATAATAATTAGAAGATCTGCATTTTTATCCTGGCTCCACTATTAAGTCACTATGAGCATGCACAACTGTACTTCTCTGAGACTCAGTTTCCTAACATGTAAAGGAGATGAACCCAAGGAATCATTTCAGGTTAAAAATTCCAATTCATGTTGATTCAGGTACCAAGGAACTTACTTATGCAATGTTTTAGTCCCAAGCCCCCCCAAAGAATAAAACTAAATCCTTTTTAAAAATAATTCAGTTGCAATGTAATTATTTTGATACAGTTTTCATTTAAATCTTATAAATTACAAAACATAAAAAATCAAAATTTCCCCAAAGTTGTTCAATACAGAACACTAGGGATTTAAGCACATAATATACGTTAAGTACATTTGACAAATCAATTACAGATTGGCAAATGCAATGGAAAAATAGAAAACCTAAAGAGGATTTGAAGAGATTAAAATACACATTTTGCAACAATAAGCCACTGCATATTATTATATCACATTATAACATATTTGAAGTGTACTTCCCCCTCTTAAAATGGCAGTGATTATACATTAGTGCAACCACAGAGCACTTGTAAAATTGTTTCTGTCCAGCAACATCCAACATCATCCGTGTTCATCATAACAAATTCTATTCTCTTAGTTCCAGGGTCTTTCTTGGGCCTGAGCTTTTTCAGTTTTCCTATTTTAACAGTTACAGTCTTTTTCCATATGTGCAGCAATCCATCCAGAACTGTCCACTGTCTAAGGATGGGGGAGCATGTGGGATACTGATGAATCTGAAGAAATCTCCTACCTTTCTAAAATAAGAAAAGTGATGGGCAAGAAGTACCAGGGTTTGAACTCAGGGGCACTTGACCACTGAACCACATCCCTAGCCCTATTTTGTATTTTATATTTTATTTAAAGGCACTGTCTCAAAGAGTTGCTTAGTGCCTTGATGTAGGCTGGCTTTAAACTCACGATCCTCCTGTCTCAGCCTCCTGAGCTGCTGGGATTACAGGCATGTACCACTGTGTCCGGTAAGAAAACTGATTTGGTTCAAAGACTGGATACATGACTATATACCATAGACTGTTTATACTTATGACATTTTTGGCAAGAAAATTTGTCAAACTGAGTAAGATTCAGTAGATTCTGATTTCTTTTTCTTCGTCTCTTCCCTTACTCCCTCTTTCCTTCCCTTAATGTTAGGAAAGCAGGGTAAGAAAGGACACACATCAGAGTTGGCTAACTTCATATCAGTCTTGTTTTTAAAATACCACTGAAAGGCGGATGGTAACAAAGGATGCTTTTTACAAAGGGACCTATGCAGCTGAATTTTAACCAAATCAACTGTGATTCTTTTATTTATTTTTTAGTAGATGGACACAATACCTTAATTTTATTTATTTTTATGTGGTGCTGAGGATGGAACCCAGGACCTCACATGTGCCAGGAAAGCCCTTTACCATTGAGCTGCAACCCCATCCCCTCAACTGTGATTCATTATAACATTCTTGAAATCCAGTGATAAATCCGTGTTGAAATGGGACATGTAACAAGGCAAATGCTCTTTTCTTTTCTCATCTTGATTCAGAGTCTGTGGCTATCAGGGGAAGTTACTAGCAAGTGTGGTGGAATGCTAACCAATGAACACAGGGCGAAGGATGGGCACTGATAGCAAGCAGCTTTGCTTGACATCCAAACATCATCTCAACTTCACATTTATTTTTTAATCCTCTTTGCAAGAAAATGTACATCCATTTCCTTCAATAGTAGGGAAGCTCAAGATGTTTTTTTCATGAATTTTTACCTCCCTTTAATTTACAATATGTATACTTTACAACAACAGAGGAGTGAATTGTTAAACTTCAATTATAAACACTGACATAACAGGTTAAAAGTATTTCTTAAGCACTACGTATATATTCTTCCATATTCCTATTATCTTCTTCAGCTCTGAGATGCTGGCTCCCTCCTGCTGGCTCCCTCTAAGCAGTCTCTTCAGTACAAACAGCATCTCAAGGGCCAAACCATCTTGCCCAAGATGAAAGTCGTCAGGGTTCCGTTCTTCTTGAGAAAACAGTGTGCTGGGTCTCCTGGGATAGCCTTGTGAGATCCGACCAGATCACTTTTAGACAAAAAGAGGAGTCAAAGAGAACTTGGGTTTCCAAAGAAAAATAAAGTGCTGCCCCCTATAAATCACAGTCTCTGTGGAGTAAGGTGTCTTCCTAAAGAGGTAGAAATAATAGGGGGTGTGTGTTGCAGATGCCCGTATTTCAATAATACTGAACACTGTATCTTTAAGGGCTTAAAATGGACTGACTCCACTCATCTCTCTGATTTTTTCATAAGTAAGCCAGAACACCAATGACCAAGGGGTCTGAAAGATTAACCAAAGAGGTTAGTGCGTATTTCAAAGCAAATTATAAATATTCTACATATATGCATATACATCTTTTTTTTGAGTGACAAAGTAATTTTGAATCCATGTAGGCCAAAACCAAATATCTTGTCTTTCATCTTTGTATATCACTTTATAATTTCAAAAGCATTTTCATGTCTTATTTATCACCTATTTCTCTAGTATATGTATAATATGAAGGAAAAGTCATGATGTCCCCATTTAACAGATGAGGACACTGAGGTTTAGCAGTCAAATGCCTACTGACATGGTGCAGAACTAGACCACAGCCTTCTGTTTTCCACTCCCAGGGTTCTTTGAAATAACCACTTCTGGCGATAGCGCTAGAACTCAGATGCCTGAAGTCCAGGCTGGGCCCCTTTACACGTAGTTTGTATATGCAGCATAACAACTAGACTTAAAAACTTGAAAGAAAAATAAAAGATTATTCTTTAAGAGATCATATATAAACCCCCAAACCTGATGTCTCACAACATGTATATCAACATTCACATTAACTAGGGAAAACAGCTTCTATCTCAGAAAGGTTTGACTTTAACCTGAACAAAGGACTTCTAAAAGGAGACAGGTTAGAAGAAGATATAATAAACACTAGTGTGTACACATTGAACACCAAAGGAAACCTTAGATCTAATTCCTGATTGTTTGGTTCTGATCAATACTGACTGGAGAGGAACTCCATCATACTAGAAGAGAGAGAGAAACTTAGGCAATTAGAATACAAATGTATTTGGTTAGGGAGTTTGTAAAGCTGTCATGTGTACTTGTCATATGTTCAGAAATACTGAACATGTTACATTGGTAACCTGAGAATTTACTAAATAGTAAATTTAGAAGAACACATTTTAGTTAATGTATGAAGACATAAAATAAATAATGATTATAAAGCTGTAAAGATACCATATTCTTAGGACAACCGAAGTGAAGTGAACCAAAGATCTAACTGTAGTCAGATCAAGGAGGGTGTGCACTTAGTTTAAACAATGAAACATGCAATCACTCCTAATTGCTGTGGTGATTGGATTTCTTCTTCATGTTAAAGACAACACTATATTATCAAAATCATACTCAAACAAAGTAAAAATTAACTAGGACTGAGCCCAACAAGGTCATATCACCTCTACCTAGTGGAAGGGGTTGGGGAGAGCTTAGCTGGGTTTTGTATCGAGTTTACAGAGGGAGATTACATAGCCCAAGAATGTGGTAGGTAAAAAATGAGTGAGGTTTTCCTGAGTCTCTGCACAGGAGTGCATGCAGACACTGTTTACTTATTGATTTCCTCGATGGCATAATTATGATCACTGTAAATAATCTAAGTGTAGACGAACCTATGCTGTTTCCTCTAGTCTGCCTTTTGCACAACTACTGGAATAAAAGCAGAATGCTTTGCCATGCCTGTTATTGTGCAGCTGGACACAGAAGAGCTCTCTTGAGTTGATATTCTGAAATATTAAGTCTATAAATAGGCTCTTCCTGTGGTGATTCTGTGGTAAGCCAGCAACCTTCTAATTATAACTTGGGCCACCATATAGCCTGAATTCCAGAGGAAGCCTGCTGGCCTGAGGTCATCAACACCTGGATGACTTGCTCTATGTGTAGTGCACTGAATATTCCAGGTGCTTTGGTCTAATCACCAGTTTCAATGAGTTCAGCTAGGTGAGTCTGTATTGTCAAGACCAATTTACTTAGAAGTGTTCATGAGTCAGGCTTCTGAGCTCAGACTCATGCACTGTGGAAAATCAGCATGCAATGGTACCCTGGTGATCTTTGCTGGTTAGCCATCCTTTCTTTGCTAATACCTCTCCATCACTACATATTATTTCTATTGTGTTAGAATTTCTGTAAACTAACTGCAGGGTCTTGAGCAACTCAGTTTACTGCATTAGTAAGAAGCAGGAGGTTTTGAATTGAACAGACCTGCCAGCAATGTAGCTCTGCCATGTACTAGCTGTATGAATTTCAGTAAGTTTCTTAAACATTTAGCCATGTTTTCTTATCTGAAAAATGAGGATAACACTACCTGCTTTACTGGGTTCCTAAAAATAGAGTCTAACAATAATTAATGTATGCAAAGAGCTTTGAACATATTTAATACTCTTTTGTCATCTATATTTCCTAAATCTCACATATAAAGAGAATGCATCTACATTAAATGTACTTGTAAAATCTTCCTGCCCCTCATCCTGACTGATCCTAACTTAATGTTCTGGCAATGTATCACCTGAACTAGAAACATAAAAATCCCATTTTGTTTTTTCTGCCCCTTGCCTTCCATATATAATCAGTTACAAAGTCCTATGGCATTAACCATAAGTGTCCTTAGAATGTTTTCCTTCCGTTTTGTACAGTGATTTCTTGGTTAGACCACTATCAAAACTTTCTTATGCCCCAGTTTTACATATGTCATCTCTACTATGTTCACAGTAATCTTAGTGTGTTGTTCCCATGATTACACAGGTGCTTACTGACTGCAGGATCACCCCTAGACCACTAAGCTTGGCCTTCAAGGTCTTTTCCATCTGGGTCCTTGGGGAGATCTTCAGCCTCATCTCCTGCTACCTCCCACTGAAGACCTTGTCTCCAGACACACTGAATTGCTGACAGTTCTTCACACTCACCGGGCACACACATAACATGGTGCCCAGGTTCCCATTGCTTCCTCCTATTTCTCTTGACCAATATGTACTGAGGCTTCAAAAACAGCTCTGCGTAGAGTTTTGTTAGTTTCAGATTAGGTTACAGCCATTTCTATTATATAAGCCATGTTCCCACAGGGTATTGTTCATACCACTGACAGGTACTAATGCAACCCCTGATGCTACCTCCTCCAGAATCAGGCTGCCTGGATTTGACACTGGATTTGTCAGTGGTATGAATATTAGTTAACAGCCATTTTAGCCTTGCCAAGTTATTCAGACTACATTTTTATGTCCTCCTCTATAAATGGGGAACAGGAGACCAACTTACTGCAGAAATTGTGGGGCAAATTCAATAAGTTAAGTCATAAAAATAACTAGCACAGTTTTCATCATATACCAAGTGTTTCTGTGATATGTATTTAGAAATATATATCATTACTAGGATTTTAACTACTTACTTAACTTCTAAGTTTTGTTATAAGCTCCTCTAGCACAAAGATTCTTATTCATTAGTATATTAGCTATGCCTGTGATAATGTCTGATTAATGTAAGTCAAAACAAAACCTACTTTTTCAGTTTTGAGATAATACCAAGGTACTGCATAATCAATACCACCAAAATAATGTTTGTGCGTTTTTTAAACTCTAGTACATTTTTTAAATTTTTAAATTTTTTTTCTAGTACATTTTGTATCAGTTATTGCTTTGAGCTATTATTTTGATTATTAATTCCATGTTAATAAACATCTACTGTCCCTTAATAATCATTTATTCCCAGAGCTTCAATTACCATCTATATGTTGGCCGTGCCCAAATCTAAATCTTCATCCCCAATTCTCTTGTAAGGTCCAGACCTATATATTAAATTATTCATCTAGACCTTTCCACTCAAATGTGCTATGCGTATCCAAACCTCCCAGATCTAAAACTAAACTCGTTTTACTCCCAAACTGTTTTCCTTGCAAATAATCCCCGTTTGGAGATATTATATCAACCTTGATTGCTCAGGGCCTGACTTTTCTTATCTTCTCCTCCATTCCCCTATCCTCATCCCATTGGTCACATTTCTACTTCCTAAATTCCACTTTATTAAGCATCTTCTGTCCCATAACCAACTCTCATCTAAGCCACTATTATCCTCATTTATCACTACTCTACACTTTTCTCAGCCCAGGAAAGCTAGAAGAATCTTTCTAAAAATGCAGATTTAATCAAGCCAATGGCCACCACTGTAGGGTTCAGGTGGCCCTCCTGAATCAAGCCTTTCACTCTCTGCCTGGGGGCCCTGTGCCTTGGCCTGCTGGGCTTCCTTGTACTCATCACGCTGTCTTGTCTACTCCAACTATGGCTCTCTACAGAGTGCTCCTTTCTGTCCCTTTTACCTGGCCAAGTTGTACTCATTACTCCAATATCAGTTACAAAGCCTTCTAAGAACCAGAGGGTTTTTCTTAACTTCCCAGGATAGGCCATACTTGTTTGTTACACATTTCTATAGCACAAGAGCTCTTCCTGTAACACTCATCACTTCCAGTCTCTTATTTAAGGCTAAGCCCTTAGTACAGGGCTTTGCATGAAGTAGGTGTTCAATTAAATATGTATACACATGTACATATATGCTATATATGATTATTAATTTTGATTATTTGACTTTCTAAATCCATAATTTGTCCATTCTTTCAAATATTTTCTAGCTTACAAAAGTCATGAGTACCTTATGTTGTATTTATATTACTTAAACAAATCTAATCCTACATCTTAATTCACTTTAAAATATAAAATATATTATAAATAAATATATATATATATATATATATATATATATATGTATAAAAATAACATTTAAACCAAATAAGGATGATATAATGGTTTCTCATGGAGCAGAATTTTAAGGTAATCAGCAGATGTAACATTTGCCATCAAAGTAACAAATTTTGTTTGAAACTGCAAACTTCTCATAGGAAAAATCCCTACTGAAATCAGTATACTTGTCCCAATCTACTGTATTTTAGCTAAATAGACTACTAAAGGTTCTATATTACCAAAAATCTATCCACTGATTTTATAACAGATTACCAATCTATTTGTTAATAGAGGTAACTAATTTAATCTACCAAGAAAGGCAATATGGCTCTGAGGAGAGGTGAAAGAAAACTGAACAAGATTTAAAACAGAAAGGATGGATCTTCAGTTGGGAGAGGGGCCATTCCACAAACCAGAAGAGAAAAGGGAAAATGTTTATAGATTTAAATATAAAGAAAAGAAAAAGGAAGGAAGAAATAAAATGTCCAACTTTACCATTCGTAGCCAAGCCGGTAAAAAGCCTTTATATAGACTCATGAATCCTTCTCCTTGAACAGCCTGAATCAGGCAATCGCTTGATGATTTATACAGAAGTCCCCTAAAAGGGAACAAAAGACCTGTTAAATTTCCTCAGTATAAACAGACACATAAATAAAATTGTCTAAAAGAATATTATAAGTTAAATATTTTCTGCTCATCTTGAACAAATAATATTTGTGGTCTTAAAGATATAGATAGCTTCATTTGAGCTTAAAGAAATTTTCAAGGCTGACTTCTGATTCATCCACCCTTGATCTTATACTTAGAATTCACTTCATCTGATTTCTTCCAGAGAGGAGGGACTATTTCATATTGACTCAAATTCTCCATGTTACCTGAAAGTGAAAGGCTTTTGAAGAAAGTGCTGTGTAAATGCTCAGCAGAGAATGCTTTCAAAAACTCTTTGAAAAACAAGTCACAATTAATTCCTTGCCTTGAAATAATGGGATTGTTAATTAGCTCATTTCCACAAATACATAGTAGTTTTTCATCAGACAAAGAGGAAGTGATTACATAAAAACAATTTCCTCTTTGACCACAAAAACACATAAATACATTTCTATCAAGAATAATTACAAGCTGGGAGCAGTGGCACATGCCTGTAATCCCAGCAGCCCAGGAGGTTGAGGCAGGAGAATCATGAATTCAAAGTCAGCCTCAGCAATGGCAAGGCACTGAGCACTCAGTGAGACCCTCTCTCTAAATAAAATACAACACAGGGCTGGAGATGTGGCTCAGTGGTCAAGTGCCCCAAGTTCAATCCCCAGTACCTCCCCCCAAAAAAAGGATAACTACATAAAACAGGCACAGTGTCACACGCCTGTAATCCCAGTGACTCAAGAAACTGAGGAAAAGAATCACGAGTTCAAGACAAATCTCAGCAACTTAGCAAGAGAGACCCTGTCTCAAAATAAAATATATATAAAGGGCTAGGGATATAGCTTAGTGGTAGAGCACCCCTGGGTTCTATCCCCACTATTGCAAAAAAAAAAAATACCCAGGAAAGTATCTTCAAAAAATTGTATTCTTATAGACAATCACACAAATATAGAAGAATTTCTCATTACCTTCCTTGTTTATCTCGTGGTTGATTCATTATTCGACTTTTGATAACATCAGCTGGTGTTCCCAGAACAGAAGCGACCAGTCCAGAACATAAACTGTAGATACAAATTAATGAAATTGAAAGATAATATACAAGACCTCCTATATTTTAAGGAAGGGGAATTGATACTTAAAAAGAATGGAATCCTAAATATATTATTATAATATTCTTTATGATGGTGCTCTTTTAGCTTAAGATCAGTGCAAAATTGATTCAGTAAAGAAGTAGAAAGAAAAAGATAATATCAAAAAGAATTTCAGGCAAGGGGCTGGGGTTATGGCTCAGTGGTAGAGTGCTCACCTAGCACATGCTAGGCGCTGGGTTAGATCCTCAGTACCACATACAAATAAACAAATAAAATAAAGGTTTTGTATCCAACTAAAATATATATATCTCAAAGAAAAAAAATGTCAGGCAACAGATCCACACTGAGCACCTCCTGGTACCAGACATCCTTTTAGACCATTAATGAGGCAGGTAGACCCTGACCTGGAAGAGCTTACACTCTACGTGGGGAGAGGCAAAGAAGAGATGAATAATTTCAGATGTTGATAATGCTATAAAAAATAAGATGGGGTAGTGTGAGAGGGAAAAACTAGGTGACAGGCAGGCAGGGAAAAGTTCTAGGGGGTGACAGCATCACTGAGTCCCCTTTGTGAAGACCTGAAGGAAGGAACAGCAAAGGACCTGAGTCCAGAGTGCTCCTGGTGTGTGTTAGTAAATATATGTATCTCTAAATATCATTGGTTTGACACTATTTTATATTCTTTGGGGGTTATCTCAATAGCCTAGAGGGATCCAGAATTTGTAAACAAGAACAGAAGCTAAATGAAATGACTCCAATGTTAAGGACAGTAGACATCTAAAAACCAATTCATTCTCATGGGTAATTTGAACTTGTGATATGGAGAGATTGAGGAAATGCCCCTGCTTGGAGTGCTTTTCTTTCTGTTCATCTCTAGAAGAGTCACATTTCTTCAAATTCTTATCTAATTCTGCCTTTGTGAGTCCTTCCAAGTGGTTATTGTTTCTCCCTCCTCTGAACCCTCCAGTGACCATTTTGTTTCAGCACTTACTATGCAGTGTTTTTATACTTGTCTTGTTCTCCTGTTGGTCAGCTCCCTAGGCAGGGGCTGGATGCACTGTTTGTGTGTCAACACAGGGGCCTACACAGCAACTTTAACACAAATTGACCCTGGGATGGCCCCATCAAGTTGTAAATATTTTGGGAGGTTTAATCTGAAATAGCCTTGTGATTTTATCTCTCCTCCCTATTTTAACTGCAATAAAATTTAAAAATATTACTCTTAATGAGTGTACTATCATCCTTCTCTAAGGGTGATACCACTAGATTCCTGATCGAGTGTCCCCAAGTTGGAATTTATGCCACAAAAGCCAGAAAGGGTGATAATATAAAAAGAAAAAAAAAACAAAAAAACAGGGTCATACTAAAACAATCCCTTACCTGGATAAACCATGAGTAATGATATTGTCCTCAAGGGGTGTATTCAATATCAAGTAGTGCTTCACTGTATCGTAAGTGGTTAAATCTGGCAATGGAAAAAGAAGGTTTAAATATTCATTTATGCAACAATGAATGTCTTTTGCGTAAAGAGTATACTGGCTTGTGGCAGGAATGTGTACCGGAATGAAATATAGCATTCATTCAGGCAGAGGATGGAGGAAGAGGAAAAGAGGAAGAGGTGACACTTGGATGTATCATTTGAATACCTGAATCCAGCTATGACTAACCTGAGCTCAACCCCTGGAATTTTTAGCCAACTAATAAATTCATTTTGGGGTCAAAGTTAGGTTGAGTTGAGACTCCATCATTTATAAACAAGTGGCTCCACGGATGGAGAGAAGCATTTAAATTCGTGCTATATCTATAAGAATACATTGCCTAGACGTGGTGACTATTTAGAAATAAGAAACAAATGAAAGGAACAGCCAAAAGTCATGCCTAGGTTTCTCACTTGTATAGCAGAAGGGATTGTTTTATATTTTGATATTATAAAGAATGGAAACAAAGATGGTTTTATATAGAGCCTGATTTTGACACATTCAAAGGAAAATACTTAAGATACCCCAAAAAAGATTCTGAGTAAGTAACTAGAATTTGGAAGAGAAATCTGGGCAATAATCTTAGGCAACAAATTGATAAACTACAATCAGAAAGGTTCTCTGAAAACCAAAATATCCAGTAATAATGTGATACACTAGACACAAATTGATAGAATAGCAAAACAGAAAATAGATTTACTTCCTTTAAGTGATACACTACTGGAATCCTTGAAAGTGCTCCTTATAAATTTCTTAGAATCATATAATTGGACTTAGAAAGGATTCTTTCATTGACTAATTCATCAAATGTTTAATGACTAATTCATCAAATGTTTAATGCATGAAAGATGGGGAAAATAAAGATGAATAAACACACAGTCCTTGCCTTCAAGAGGCTTGTATCTAGTGGAACAGGCTCATATCTAGTGGAACGTTCAGACATTAGAAAGCAATGAAATGAGCTACAAGCAGCAGAAATAGGCACAGGGAACTATAGAAACACACAAAAGAGCATCTAAGATAACATGCTGTGGTTAAAGGGATTGTGGAAGGTTCTGGAACAATACATTGGTGGAGAAGAATTCTTCAGACAAGAATATTACTCTTAATAGAGGATCTGTGAAGGAAAACTAAACAAAAGAACAGGGAAGAGGACAGAAAGGAGAGGGGTGAAGAAGAGCTATGCATGTGCAGGAAGTGGAACCTTTTGGCTCATGACTTGTTGCTTCACTCTTTCCAACAGGATCAATGAACCGTTCAGTTCTCTGAAAGCACAAGGCAAATCCTACAGACCATCTACATCATGCGCCAAAATTCCCACTTTGTTCTGTGGGTAATGAGAAGCCAGTGCCAGGTTTTAGGGGCATCATAACATGTTCATTTCCTTGCTTTGGATGACTCACTCTGGATGCTGGGTACAAATTTGGAGAGGGAGACCAGATGGATGGCTGTGGCAGTGGTCTAGTTGAGAGGTTCTGATGGTTGGCACTGTGGAAATGGTTACTTTAAGGATAATAGGTGCATTCTGGAGAGGGGGAAACTTTTAAGAACTCAGAAGATGGTAGTGGTGAGTGTGAAGGCTGCCTTCTCATGCACAAACATGACTGACTGCTCTCAGAGATGAAACCAAGGAGGGCAGGAATGAGGCTTTCTTTTCTGCACCTCAAATTCTGTGCTCTTGTTTTTCGAAACAGGAAAGATCAGCAGCTTCCTTTTTTCACCGTTGCTGTGACCTTTCCTATATTTACTTCCTATGAAATTTTTGTCTTCCTTTTGCTATATGTGCATCAGCATCCATGGTTCACATCTTTCTCTATTATCAGTTAACAACTGATTATCTCAGTCTGATGATGGCTGTGCTGTTAACCTCTTCTTACAAAATATTTTAACATGTTCTATATTTTGAAGTTAAAATTGCTCTCTTAGTGGAGTCACCTATCAACCTATAATTTATTTTTTTTTTCAGTAATGTTGTGTTTATTTTTTTAAAATTTGTTCTTTTAGTTATACATGATAGTAGAATGCATTTTGACATATTATACCTACATAGAGTATAACTTCCCATTCTTCTGGTTGTACATGATGTGGAATTACACTGGTTATGTATTCATATATGAACATAGGAAAGTTATGTCTGATTCATTCTACTATCTTTCCTATTCCCATTCCCCTTCCCCTCCCTTCATTCCTCTTTGTCTAATCCAAAGTACTTCCATAATTTCTTTATTTAAAAAATACTTTTTCTCTCATATTTTCTCTAATGTTCAATGTAACTAAAAACTTCACCAGTAGTATATATTACTATTTTAATAGCATGTCTTAAATAAAAATAAATTAGTATTTTTCTGAGGTATCTTTTTAAAAAATTTAATGTTCTTCCAGCTTTATTCAGGTCTGACTGACAAATAAAAATTGTTCATATTTAAGGCATAAGAAAAGAAACTGAGAACTGAAAATGAGAAGCGAAGGGTAGAAATGAATAAGAGATTGTTTACTTTCCTGGCCTGGGTGCCAGTCTGAACAAGGTGGATTATATAGGAATAGGAGGATTGCCAAGGGTAAGGATTTGGACATTGTAGATATAATGAACATCAATCTTAAAAGGAGGTAAGGATTAGAGAGAAGATTAGAAATAGTTTGGTCTTTTCTCCTTATTTCCATAATTGGTTTTTCTTAAGAAGAAAATCCTTGTCATACATTACTGTAGAATAAGGTAAAAATATTCCAGGAAATATATTCAATTATAATAAACATAAAACATATGGAGCCTGTGGCTGATATATGTTATTATAAATAATGAAATAAAAATGTTCATATCCCTGATACAAGAGCATGCAAGAATTAAGTTGTTTGAACTTCTCAGAATTCAATAAAGTTTTCATTACCTCCCATATTCACCAGTGCTGCTCTTTGTATATTGGGGACCCAGCCTGCCCACAGCCCACGTATTCCTCCTTCAGCTAAGATTTTTGCAAAAGCATGATGCACACCACGGAATCTAAGGAGAATAATAATGAAATGTGAAAAGTTGGTGTACTCTTGAGAATGGAATGCAATCCAATAAGCTTCTCCTATAACTGTTATAGAGTAAAATAACATTTACTCAGAATTGTTAGAAATTAAAGGAATTCATGTAAGTCTAATATGCAGATAAACTTATTAATCCTTTAGAACACCAACATTTGATTTAAACATTTTTAATACAAATCATGATAAGTTGTGTCATCTTCTCAGATTATTAAAAAAGATCAAAATATCTTTCTTGACATATCATTGGTAGGCATATTAAATATAGGAGGAAACAGTGACAGTCAGAACTTCTGGATGCCTCTTACTAATGTTGCAGGGGACGTGCAAATTTTTAAAATTTGTCAAACAACATTAAAAAAAACATTGATTCTTAGGGCTAAAAATGTAGCTTAACAGTAAGGCCCTTGCCTAGCATGTGCAAGACCCTGGGTTAGATGTCTAACATCACAGTAAAAAATAAAACAAACAATAATAATAAAAAAGAAAATCACTCTCCTATAACTTCATAAAAGAAAGAATATTTATAGATCAAAAGTAGAATGCGCAATATTCTAAGAATTTTTAAAATTAAATGATTTGAGCTTTATGAAAATTTGCTATCCTATCTTTATTTTGCTCACATTTCTGTAGACAGGTGAAAAATGGTGCTGAAGCATGAATCAAATCTGGGAGCCTCTGATGTAAAAGAAAAGTCTGGGCTTGATATGGACAGAAAAAAATCTGGAGTCAAACGTCACATTTACCACTTACCAGCTGTATGGATTTTACTAAGGTATTTTACTCTTTGAATCACATCAAAAATATGACATTCTTGAGATGCATAATTGCTATTATACTACAAGGAATCACAAATGATCACTGTAGCTAAAATGTATTGTACCTTTACTAAGTAGCAGTCACTTTATACATGAGATGCATTTTAATCTTGAAAGGTTTCTGAGGTATGTGTATTATTATTCCAATTTATATGTGAGGAAACTGAGGCTAGAATGGTTAAGGAATTTGACTACTATTACAGAGCTAAAATGTAGTAAAGCTTGAGGCTGGATTGGACCCTTGGGCTGATCCCAAGGATTATGCTGTTTACTACAACATTAAGTATAGTCAAACCCAAAATTTCCAGTGTTAGGGATAAAAAAGAGGATTAAAACCCTGGGGAATCAGTTTAAAACATAGCTTTTTATTTTGGTACCGGGGATTAAACTCAGGAGCATTTGACCACTGAGCCATATCCCCAACCCTATTTTGTATTTTACTTAAAGACAGGGTCTCACTGTGTTGCTTAGCGCCTCACTTTTGCTGAGGCTGGCTTTGAACTCCCAATCCTCCTGCCTCTGCCTTCCCAACACTTTTCTCTCCAGTCAAGGCTACATCACTTCTCTCTATTCAAAGTCATTAGAAGTTGTTACAAAATGACCAAATGGGGCTCTGTAAACTCCTCGTTTAAGTCAGAGTTGTGTCTTTTCTCCTCTGCTAGGCATCTACCCATTTTCTGAAGGCTGAAGGGGAGATGGGGCAATATCAGCCCAACCTTATCCTCCAGCATCTGCTAGAGAAGAAGTGAGTACAGAGAAGTGGTCAGGGGTGGCCTCCTAAAGATGGTTCCAAACCCTCCTCCTCCACCTCTGGCTTTGCTGCAGACCTGGAGGATTCAGACTCCACTCAGGTTATCCTGCACTTCCCTCTTTCCTGGAAATGATCTATCTATATGCAAAATTTGGCCCTTTCCCAGGGGAAACTGGCTAAGTGGCTCTTCTAATAAACTGCCCTTTGAGGAAAGGCTGACTTTGCTAATATAGGCTAATGTAATGGGAAGATTTTATATCACAGAGGCATAATTTTAAAAAAAAATCTTCCTTAAAGGGCCTTAGAATGTAGGGGGAATTAGATTAGAGAAGACCATGGGAACATAAGATTGACCTTGTTAATTCCCTTCTTTCTGGAAGACAGCAAGAAAAGCAATGTTATGCAGCTAGGCATGTTTACCATCACGAAAACCTTTTGAGAGAACCCCTTTTAAAGATGAAAATAGACTGGAAATGTTAAGTGAATGACACCATACAAACCATAGTGGCAAAGCTGGGGTGCATAACAGGGCAAACCTTAATAATAAAATTCTTTATATCAACCTGCAATAGGAGACAAATCTAACAATGTTGGCTGGGATAGCAGCAAAGAGTTATGAACACATGACAGAGAAGATAGACACTTTGTCATGCAAAGAAAAGATATAGCTCAGCTCTCCTCTTCATAAATATAGCTTCCAAATTTAAAAAAAAACAGTATTAATACCTTTACTGAATACTGGATTGGAAAAAATATAAATCCATTAAATAAATATTCAAAATATGATGATATCAAAGGGAAGCAAAAGCACCAATTAACTGGAAAACTTACCTCAGTGGTTTTCCTTCAAGTTTCCTTTTTCCTTCCATTTGCATCTGAACCTTCACTAGGTCAGCTGGGTTGGCTAAAAATTGGCCGATAACACCAGCCATCATCCCTCCAATGACTGACTTCCTAATTGTAAAAAGAGACATTGTTTTTAAAGTTGCCATTAATTTCACAAATTTTACAGTGAACCAGTACTAAGCTGGGACAGGCCCTGGGTAATAAATTTAAGACAAAGTGAAAAAAAAGGATATACCCAGATGAACCACAGAGAAAAAAATAGATGGTTTGGTTGTTTAGTGACAGGAGGGTAAAGGACCAAAAGGAACTAAAATTAAGATTTGCACTTTCAGATCTTACATGGCCTGAAATCCAAAGGAAAGGGTGGATGCTTCTAAGATATAAACAATAACATAAAAAAAATGTTATTGCAGAGAAAAACTTGAATCATTTAGCTGCAGTTTAATTCTGACTACCAGATGAGAAAAACAGCAGAGATGTAATCAACCTCATAGAAATGGGTACACCAAATTTTTAAAACTACTACTTTAGTAGTTTTCCAAGTGAAGGGCTTTGAAAATATTGCTCTTTGTGAAGAAACTTTTCCCATTCCTGGTCTAGTCTTTTTCCTCCCCCATCAGCCAACAGTGAGCAAAACTAGACAAAATGACTATAATCATAAATAAGGAGCTGAGTCAACAGATTGCACATGTAGAATTTTTCACCAGTAGTTTACACTACAAAAAGTATAGTCTGTAGTAACTTATGTTTCCCTTAACTGTATAAAGATAGTTTTAATTGATTCCCCTTAAATTAATTACTGGGGAGGTTGCGTATGTTTACATGTTTAATGAACACTTATATTTCTTCTTTTGGAAACTATTGACAATCCTGTCCTTATTCTTCCATTGCATTCTCTATATTTTTCATTGATTTGTAGGAGGTCTATTTGTATTATATATAGTATCCTATTTTTTATGGTTTCTGTTTTATATATTCTAAGTGACAGGACATAACATTCATTATCTTATCAACTCCTAAAAATTACAAAAGCTTAATGGTAGCTATTACTTGTATAGCTGAGGAACTGAAGATTTTAAAAAAAAGTGAAGCCCAGGTAACACAGTAGAAGAGTGGAAAATGGAGTTCATCTCTGTCTGATTCTAAATCACAATGTTCTAGGATATGCACTGGGAGGACTAAAGAAGGTACTCTGCTAAAAGACCAGCATAGGTTGGTCACTGGAAGTCACTATGGTTCTTAATAAGCAATGACATGATGACAATATGAGTCTTAGAAAGATTAATGGCATGAAAAAATATGTTATTGCAGAGAAAAACTTGAATCAAAGAGACAGCCTAGAAGTTGAGGGTCCGAACTATATGTGCTGATTTGGAACTGAGCAGCCTGCAGCTGTGGTTGAGATTGCAGGAGTGGAAGAGCACAGCAAACAGGAGGAGAGCAGAGATCCAGTTCAGTGGACACTAGGTGAATAGAAACTGTTCCCAGCATGGTGCTCTTCCCTTGCAAAACAGTGATGACCAAGACTGGTCCTTGACTTTCAAGGAGCCACCTCAGTCTTACCAGCAGGGAACAGCAGCAAAGAGGCAAAGAAGAAACCAGAAGAGATACTGAAAGAGTCAAAGAGTACAATATCCAGAAAGTCAAAGATGGAGGTACTTACAGGAGTGTCAGAGGAACCTACATTTAAAGGGAAATGAGGATTTGGTAAAAAGTCAATCTGATACATTCTTCATTTTTACATTCTGAGAATGAAGTATATTAGTTTATGTCTTCAAATCCCTAAATTCTTATGCATTTTCCCAAGCTTCTAAATTTGCAATCTAAACATTAGGGAATGAGAATATTCTAATGGAAAATTGTTTGCTAAAACAGGCTTGTTTAAAAAAGACAAATGCTCACAGAATGTATGTTTATTACTATGCCTTCCTTATGCTCCAAAAATAATTAAAAGAGCCCAAAACAAAATTACATAGGAAACTTGCCATTCTCTGTAATTATAAGACTGCCAAATCTACTAACAGGTATTTTTAAAGAAATTTAAAATCATTCAAAAAGGAGGCTAAGTACTGACAGAAAAAAAGCAAGCATTTTGCTTAAGTTTAGAGGACTAGATTTTACTATTCTTGTTTTTACTTAATGAAACTTGTACAAAATGAGAATGATGGTTTACTTCCCCTTGACACAGCCTTAAAGAAATGGATCACACACTAACATCTAATAATATAAAAGCCATACACAGTGTGTGTGTGGGCGGAAGCATGCATTAACCACAGGTCAGCTTGCTGGAGGAAGAAAAGTTATTATTTTCATCTGACTAAAATCCAAAGGGAAGAGTGGTTACTTCATTTTTGTGTGTCTTCTTTCTAAGATATATTTTTCATTTAGAAATTTGATTCTGGGATCAGTGATGTCTGAATAAAATATGGGTATACAGGTAACTCAAATGCACTAAACAAGAAAAACTTTAAGGATTTTATCAGATACGTAAGGCCTGACACTTACCAAATCATATCATCAAAAATAGCATTATTCTCAATTTCGAATATTGAGAATTCTAATATTAGAAATTGAGAATAATGTCTTTTGAGTGTTATAACCATAAAATGTACATAATCCAATGGTTTAATGTGTTATATTTATAGTCACCAAACCAAGATGATGATAATAATAATAATAATAATAATAATAGTGCTCCCTTATAATTCTTTCATTATTAAAATATTAAATATTTCTACATATGCATATTATGTCTGTTTACAATTTTCAGTAAACACTCTATTATTTGGATTTATATTGTAATTATTTGTTTTTTAAGCCTAAGCAATTATAATTGTAACAAATATACAGTTTTACATAAATAGATAAACAGATAGTCTTTGAGGCTATAGCATATTATTTTCAAAACAAAACTTACCAAAGGGGATAATGCTTATCTTCACTTTTGCCAAATACAACCTCCCGGAGATGTTCGTATGTGACCATCCGACCTCCAGAGTATACTGTATAAAATAGATCATTAAAAAGGCCAAATTCAGCTCTATGCTGAAAAAAATAAGAGAACAATCTACCCTGACCTAGACACTCTCTCTAGTTGCATCCTTCTCTTATGTAATTTATGTTCCTGAAACAGTCTTCTTGATATTTCTCAAAATGGGGTAGGACCCTCACTGATCTTTCTAGAATAGGTTCTTCCTTCTCTGTTTTGCTAACTCCTCCTAATCTTTCAGAATCCAACTCCAGTATATTTTTTCAGGAAGTGCTCTCCAATCTTTCCCCCAGTATTCTAGGCAAGCATTGCACACTCTCACATAGCAACTATCATACTCATTAGTGATCAACTTGTTCTTCTTGTTGATCCTTCCATCAGAACACAAGCTTCAGGCAGGTTCTGTTTGTTTTTCTTATTATGTCAGATGCCCTCATATGTACCTTGGCACACAACAGGTATTTACATTCAATTAACATATATAATTCACTGAATTTGTTATATTAACATAATGTTTTCAGTAACATTTCAAACTCAAAAAATGAATCTTATTGGTAAAGCAAAGATGGTGGTAAAAAAATACAAATGAAAAGAGGTGAAACACAAAACACTAGCACACAAAGGAGAAAATATTTTAAAAGATGGAAAGTAAAATTATTAAAATCAGCACTTGGTATTCATACAGAGAGCTTTTCTTGATATTTCAGCAAGTTTTAGTCCATATTTTAAGATAATTGTGAATATATGAAGTGTGAAAACCGTAATAGTCTATGCATGCTTGTGGTTATTTCTTGAGAAATATGCTCTTTCTCATCTGAAGAATTGCATCTTTAAAAATATGATGCCAGTAAATATTCAGTCTGGGCAATTTTCTGATCAAGGGTCTATCACCATATGCTTAAGGAAACATTATACATGTAAAAGAGAAAAATACTAAAATACCACACCTATCCTGCTTCCACTAAGTTGCTGAGGTTGGCCGCAAACTTGCCATCCTCCTGCCTCAGCCTCCCAAGCCATTGGAATTACAGGTGTGTACCACTATATATAGCCAGTTGCTACTATCTCACCACCTTTATCACTAATGGCCCACAGAGCTAGTTAGGCGCCCTGGGGAAGTAAGGCAGAAGTCACCTATGTTGCCTTTTCCCTGTGGCCAGAAGTGGATGAGGCAGGGATCTCTGCTCTCTTTTAGAGCAGCCTGGTCTCTGATGTATGGGACAGAGGAGATCTGGCATTACAGTAAATATATCTAAATTTTCAAAGAACATTAAAAAAAGGTAAATTTGTGTTTGAAGTTTCTGATGTGAAAGAAAGTAACCATTGTTCATGTTTCTTTTTTCTTAAACCATTAAAAAACTTTTTATTAGGAATATTTTCAAACAGCAAAGTAAATAATATATAACTTACCATTAAAATTTACCAACTGCAAAATGTACTTCATTCTTTTTCTTAATTATTTTGAAGTACTTCCCAGATATCATGATAGTTCATCCCTAAATACTTTAGTATGCATTTCTAAAAATTTAGGATAGTAACTCCTTAGTAACAATAGATAACTTTTTCTTCCTAAGAGATTGATTATATGTTCATTTATCATCAGTAGGGGAAAAAAAATTTAGCTGGCTTTTGGATACAGCTAAAAGGAAACACAGAGGAGACAAACACAAGACTCATAACAAACTTACCAGCTAGAATCAAGATAAATACCTACGTGTCTGTAAATGGCGGGCGTCACTCCTTGCCAAAGCTTTAGAAAGCCTTCTTCCTGAATGATTCCTAGGGCGGTGCGCACCATGCCCCTATAGGGGGCAGATTCTCTTGCATTGTCTCCCAACCGAGCAAGAGCAGCTTCTCCTTGCATTTGGAGTCGAGTTTTTGTAAGATCGAGGGGAAAGGTTGCTAACAAAAAACAAACAAGCGAGGGGAAAAAACCCACAACATTCAGAGAAACAAGCAAAAATTCTAAAATCATAGGACTAATGTTTTCCCAAGATTATTGGTTGTCAAATTTTAGAATTACAGATTTTCTAGTCCCATGCCCATGTACTCTAATTTGGCAGACTTACAAGGGTTTCAAATTGATTCTCAGACACTCCCAAATTTAAGAATCAGGGCACCAGAGCAAACTGGATCACCAATCAAAAGTCAAAAAGTGAAAAAACCCTTGAGTTCTTTTTATTCCAAGATTTCAATCAATAATCTACTTTAGTAACTTTAGTTTTTTCCCTCTACAATGAAAATAAATATCCATATTCTGTGGTGTCCTCCTGATTGCAACCATGATTGTTTAACATCTGTTGTAACTTTAGAACACTGTACTATGTATTCTTATGTACTATCATAAATGCAAGATAAAGCAGAATTTTATAATTTCATGGGTGATTTTTCACATGCAAACGAATCATAGCCCTGATATTTGAGATACAGAAGATTCAATGGAGTTCATAATGTCTTCTTTTATATAGAAGGGTGGCATGCTCAATATTTCTTAAATTAAGACATATTAGTTGTTTTCCAGCACTGATAAGTTTAAGCGTGGCATATTTGTAGGCTCCTTACAAGTTATCAACTATACTTGTAAAACCTTTTTCTGTTTACATATTGAAGTAGAGATGGATCTTTTACCTTAAAACAGAGTTAAGCTACCTGATCCATATAAGGAAAATCAAGCTTATAACTTGATTTTATTCACATTAGGACAGGTTCATGAACATTACTGACATAAGATTTCAATGATCACCACCTAATACAAATCTTCAACATGCCTTTTTCTTTCTCTCTCTCTCTCTCTCTCTTCTTCTTCTTCTTCTTTTTTTTTTTTTTTTTTTTGGTCCTGGAGATTGAATCCAGGGTTTACCACTCAACTATGACCCTGGACCCTTTTATTTTTTGAGACAGGGCCTATGTAAGTTGCCCAGGCAGGCCTCAAATATGCAGTTCTTCTGCCTCAGCCTCCAGAGCAGCTAGGATTAAAGGCCTGTGCCACAGCACCCAATTGAGCACGCCTTTTCTAAGAGGAGACGGAGTGGGGAGAAGGAAAATAATATTAAATATTACCACTTTGGAATATCTTGCCAATAGTTTCCCTGAATCAGAATTAGCTTGTATATGGAGAATTAAGAAATGTTGTATTGACATAAGAACCTGAAGAAAAGTCACAAGAAACAGGAGCCTCTAAGTACAAATTATGCCTCTCAAAATATTTTTTTTTCTTTCTGGTTACTAGATGTTTTGGGGTCTGATCCTGAATCAATTTGTAAAACCTTGAATCAATTTGTAAAATTTGTACTCAGAATCATCCAATATTGTGAATCCCTTGCTTCCCATCTCCATTCCCCACACAGTTCTCTCCCTGAATTTTTTACAATAGCAGTCTTCCTGCACAAAAAGCCATTGAGTCATAAGGAGAAACATCAGTTAAAAAACAAACTGGAAATACATCTAATTATTCAGCAATCTCACTTTAGATTTCTTTTAAAGTTGATAAATTTTATTTCAGGAAAAACAATGAAAAATAAAATCCCTCCATCAGCTTTGAGAGGAAAGGACAGGGTAAGGGCAAAGGGCAAGTGTGAGAGTACAAAAGACAAACAACAGCATGTGCTGGCTCTGCCAGAAATGCAAAATAAACTCATGTTAGAACAGGACTAACATTCACAAATGATTAATGCATCAGAGGTATTCCTCTTTTGTGTGTGTGTGTGTGTGTGTGTGTTTAGTGGGCAAGAAAATGTAAGGGTAATCTTGAAATACACAGTTAAAGCTTCACAGGGAACACACAGGCACTCTACTCACAAAACCCTTGGAAGAAACACCACCTGATCATGCAAGGGCATCATAATTTCCCTCTGGGTGGTCTCTCAAAGTTTGCTCTGACTCACTTAGCAGATCAAACAGTTCTTCTAGGCTCTTATGATAACCTAAAAATAGCTTCATCATAATAAGTAGCACATTGTAATTGTCTTTCTCTGCATGTCTTCCCACCAGCCTTGTAAGAAGGTCAGAACAGGAACTGTTCAACTGTATATCCTCAGGCCCTACTACTGTAGTAATTACAATGATGTCGCAATTAATAGGTGCCCTGCCTTGAATTTAGTATTTACATATCATTGACTTCTCAGGATCCTTCCTGTAAAGTAAACACAATATAGATGAGTTCAACTCAAAGAGGTCAGGTAACTGGAAGATGTTAAATCCATGCTCAACAATGAATGGTTAATAATTGAAGTCCCACAAGGTAAATCCACAACTTGGATTTAAAAGACAATGAGACTAAGTGTGTAAATCTTGTCAGAGATGACCCCAATAAGGATGAAAAATGTATTTTTTTAAAAAGGCCATCCTTACCAAAAGGAAAATGATTCATTGAGAGGAATGACAGCTTATGAAGCTTCTAAAAGTATACATTCGGACACAACAGCACATCTCTAAGGGAGATTAGACGAAATTGGACCGAAAGCACCTCAGAGACCTTCAATTCCTTCTCCCAAAGCTGGCCTTGCCTCCACCCTGCTGCTTTGGCCAGGCAGGCGTGCAAGAAGAGGGCGCAACCTCTTGGGATGCACACAGCCTGGAGCGAAGCAGCGCGCCCATCCCTCCCCCAGCGCCACGGCGCGGCGACTTGCCGAGGAGGCCCAGGTGTGGGCGGCCGGGTACCTAGCTCGGCCACTGTAGCCGCGCAGCCGGACAGTACGAACTTGCTTGCTCGGGGCCATCTCTGGGCGAGTGGCAAAAGCCTCTCCTCATCCTCCGGGTTAGACATTCAGCAGCAGGTGTGGACGACAATGCACCCCTTCTCGCCGGTGCACCCGCTGCGCTGGCCTGCCAACTTGCCACGGCGGCCCCTTCTCAACCCGCAAGCGGTCGGGTAGAGACCATTTCCCCCAGAAAGGCTCGGTGAACCCGCGCCTTCCTAGCAGCCCCAAACTAGAGTGGTCCAGCGGCCCCAGTCAAGAGCCGAAAAACAAAGCGGAGCTATGAGGCTTCTGGGAAATGTAGTCCGCCGGACTCCGCGACTTCTCTGATTGGCGGGTAGAAAGACGCCGGTTAAGCAGTTGTCCCTAGGTCTCCATGGCAGCAACTCTTACTCCCTCCCTCCAGCCCCGCCCCGCCCCGCCCCGTCTAGCCCAGCCCAGCCCTTGCCTGGTTTTGGTGGTAGCCAGGATTTGAAATAGAAGAGGAGGTGGGAGGGAGCGATGATGCAAACATCACCTAAAAATTGGGGCGGGGAAAGGAAGTTACAATTACGAAAGAGAATTAGCTGCAAAAGTTGGAGCGGAAAGATTGGGAGACTCGGAGGGTCTTCCCTAGCCCACAGGGTACGAGAAAGTGCCAGGTCAGCAGGACTTTGTCAAACTTCTTTCATTTTGGAAAATGATGGAACAAAATACAGAATTGATTTCCCTAACAGTGATTATAGCCCTGGGTTGCGTTGCTCTTTTCTTATGCCTTCAACGAAAGAATTTGCGTAGACCTCCGTGCATCAAGGGATGGATTCCTTGGATTGGAGCTGGACTGGAGCTTGGGAAAGCCCCTCTAGAATTTATAGAGAAAGCACGAATCAAGGTATGTGGCGCGCGGGCGGGTTTTTCAGAGAAGTTAACATTTTCCTTTTTATTTATTTTTTCATTAGATTTCAGGTGCAATATTAGAACACCGGGAATATACCTCCTTCCCGCAATTAAACATTGTTAATAAAGCATTTTTAATCCCTCTACTAACAATCAACAACCATGTCCTACGAAAGGTTTTGCGAAGGAGACGAAATACAATGCAGCTTGCATCTGCCTTACTGGAAGTAGAGATTAACTTTTAAGTGTTAGTTACTTCATCGAAGTTAATTTCGAAGTGAATACATTTTAACTAAATGCTTGCAATAGTTGTGAAAAACAGAAGTGTAATGTGATTTAAATTTGTGAAAATGAGTGATAAATTCGTATCCAAAATGGAGCTAATACCAGGATACTGTAAAAATTGCTTGCAAAATTGTTCTTTACAAATGTAAGGGGTACTGTTTTTCTTGCTGGTATTGTTATTGATGATGGGTGGTTGTAATAGATGTTTTTGTTCTTAAAGTGTCTTTCAAATGTTTGAGCATTTTAGGGAAAAAACATTTGCCAGCCTTTTAATTTCTATTCAATTTCCAGCCACCAAGATTTTGTGGTGATGCTAACCATCATCATTATTGTGTATTGTATTACAATATTTTCTGTGCTTCCTCCATATAGGTTTCTATCTGGTTAGCCCAATTTACAAAATAATTCTATATATAGTAGTAGCATTATATATACTTTTGATGGTTTACCTTAAAAATTTCTGAGATTCCAATTTGGTTTAAAATCTTGGGGAATAAGTGAAGAGAACTAAGATGAAAATAAGAGTAACCAAAATATCACACCAGAAATGAAACATTAAAATTTTAGAGTATATTATTTTGCCTTTTTTTCTGTGCATTTATAAACTATCGAGTAAATAACAGCGGCATAATACTGTAATTCTATTCTGTGTCCCTTTGAATTTAAAATTTAATGTGAATAATTTCTCCATGTCAGTATTTCTCTGAATCTTTTTAATGGCTATATTTCATGATATAAAGATATGATAGCATACTTAAATCTCAGTAGTTGCATGTTGAAGTTGTTGCCACCCTTTTTCTTTATCTCAAACATTGTTTCTTAGCATGTGTGTATGTGGTCTTACATTTTGCACTTATCTGATTGTTTCCTCAGAATAAGTTTCTAAAACTAGAATTGCATATGAGAAAATGCACATTTAAATTGGGTATCATATTACCCTTGTCCAAAGATGTAACAATATATACTTTTTAACTCCCTTTGAGTGTATGGATTGCATGGCTTCTTATATCCTGGATCATACTGTATACCAATATTCTTCATAATTTTTGCTAGTCCAATAGATGAAAAAAGGTATCTCCTGAAAAAACACTCCTTTGTTCCCTACAGCCTTTTGTAGGCATCTGATTCTGATAATTTTTAAGGATTTTTTAATAAGCTTGATCAGATTAAATATTTGTAAGGAATCTGTAGTTTTCTTTCTTTCTTTCTCCCCCCACCCCCTTTTCTTTCTCTTTCTTTCTTCTACAGTGCTGGAGATGGAGCCCAGGGCCTCATGCATGTTAGCCAAGCACTCCACCACTGAACCACATCTCCAGCCCTCTGTAGCTTTTCTTAAATGAAACAAGTTGTATGAGTCAACTATAATATTATGTGACACAGTACAAATTACCTTTTTCTAGTATTAAAATATAAAAGATGACTATATTGTTTTATATTTGATACTGAAAGTTATTATGCTTCACTCTTGCCTCTTCCCCTTGTACTGGTCATCTGGGCAGGATGCTAAGAAAGGGTGGGAACTCCCATCTTTGGTGCCAGGGGAGATTTAAACTGTAAAAAACACCAACTCTTACTAGGGGATGAAATTGATCAAATTGTGTTATATTGTGTGAGTGTATGAGTATGTAGCAACAAATCTCACTATTGTGTAAAAAATAAGCAACTATAAAGAAAAACAAATTCATTAAAAGGCTATTGGGAATACAAAAAAACTTGGAGGTGAATAATATATTGATTATCTTGATTGTGGCAATTTTACAGGTATGTATATATATATATATAATATATATATATATTATATATATTATATATATATATATTATATATATATATGCCAATTTTAGCATACTGTATACTTTAATATGCAATTTATTGTATGTCAGTTATACTTAAATAAAACTTTTTTTAAAATAACCCTCAAGCAGAAATGTTCAGATCAGCATTTCTGACTGTAATTAAACCCCCCAGGGGAGATTTGCTTTCTTAAGCCATTTTCAGATCATCTTGGGAGACAAGTGGTTTTCTTCCCAGAAAAGCCCATTGTGTAAGTAATAAACCTTTCCATACACCATTCTTGTGTGGGTGACATCATCAGTCTTGACATTGGAACCAGATTTTGAGTAGAGGGTGCATTCTGCTTTCTCATGGTAGCTGCAGTAATTTCTAATTGGTAGCCTTGACAGAAAACTGCATTTAAGTGGCTACTGTAGGAAACACTAACTGCATACTGAACCACTTAAAGTCTCAGCATGAGAGATTGCCCCCTCAGCTTCTTCTGCCCCTGGAGAAGGCAGAGAAGAGAAAGCTTTAGCAACTATAAAAATCCTCCCTTTATTTTTATTTAGTAATTGAGTAGATGATGCATCAATATAGTTCAATTTTTTTTGAAAAAAATAAAAACTACAGTGAAACATCTCTCTGACCTCTGTTTCATTGCCACTCAGTTCTTTACCCATTATTCCCAGCCTTGGTAATACTAATTCATTTCTTATATATCCTTTCATAGTTTCTTTAACTGTGTACAAACAAATACAATTATAGATTCTTATTATCCATCTTTTATACGCAAAATGCATCATACTACCCACTGTTTTTTGGTTAAAAGATACTGAAATATTTACTTATCAGTACTATCTAGAACTTTCAATGTTTTTTTTAAGATGTATGGATATACCTAACTTTATTTAACATGTTTCCACATTGATAATCATGTGGGGTATATTTCTAAAATAATTCATAATGATCCCCACCTTTTGCAACCCATTCCCATGTATAATTACCTCCTGTGAGGTGTCAGCAGAACTTAGTAACTCCCTTCTAATGAGTAAAATATGGCATACATGATGGGATGTGACTTGTGTCCTTAAGCCTTCCTTTGGATAACAGACTCTATTTTTTTCTCAACTCACACATTTTATGGAGAGACCCATAAGATAGGAAACAGAGGGAGGCCCTGGCCCACAGCCAGTTAAGAACTAAGGATTGTGGAAAACTGAATCCTGCTGCCCACCATGACCTTGACAGCAGGTCCTACCCTAGTTGAGCACTAGATGGCTGATGCTCTATTTTTAGTTAGAAGCTCACAAAAGGAAAACAAAAACAAAAAACATGTTGAAAACCCAATATTTGAAAATTTTGAGACAGGATTTTGTTTATATTTCAAACTGAGTCTGGTTATATCAGTCTTTAATTATGATTTACAATTTTTTAAGCATAAGACTTTGATAAAATCTCTAGTATTTTGACTATGAAAGTAATTTTAAAGGTCTAATAGTATGTGTCTCAGGCTGCCCATTGACAGCTAAGGTCATCTATTTGTTGACATGATGGAAACACTATTTGCAAACAATATCCCAAAATGCATTAGGACAAGTTTGGATATTTTGTAAAAATGATAGTGAATAATTCCATAAAACTCTTGGAAAGTTGTTGACACAATTAGCATCATTATTTTTTCAGACTTGATTGAATGAAATGGTATCTTCCTCCCACCACATTTATAGTGCTGAAATCCATAAATAAGAGTACAAGATACAGCTAGCAAACCAACTTCCCCCAAACACAGTTCTCTATATTAAAATGGCTTAACTAAGGACACTATTTTCCCATTGAAGAGCTATTTGATGGCCTTACATGTAGTAATGTATCATGAGTTAAAATCAACTTTCTCTAATATTATTAGAGCTATTCCAATTTTCACGATACATCCTTTTTCTATTCCTTATTTTTCTACTGTTCTGAGTCTTTAACTTGTCTCATGCGAAATACAAAATACGTTGAGCTGAATGAAGAAAAAAGTAACATCAGAGTTTATATCACTAAGTACTTATATTAGAAAAAAACAAAAACCTGAAGTTAATAATCTGAGCTTTTGCCTCAAGACTCACCCAAAGCAGCCAGATAATCCCAAAGCAACAGAGGGAAAGAAATTTTAAAAAGCAGAAAACAAGGAAATTGAAAACAGAAAAAAAGCAATGGAGAAAATCAATGAAAGAAAAAGTTGGTCTTTTTAAAAGATCAATAACATTGCCAGACCTCATGTAAGAGTGACAGAAGACAGAAGTGACCAGTATTAGTAATGAAACAGGGGATATCACTGTAGACCCTGTAGACATCAAAAGAATGATGGAATACTATGAATAACCCTGCATACATAAATTTAACAACTTAGATGAAATGGACCAGCTCCCAGAAAAACACAAACTACCACTACTATTCAATAAGAAATAGATAATTTAAATAGGCTATACTACTATGAAAATTGAATTTGTAATTTTTAAATTCCCCTAATAGAATTCTTTAGGTCCAGATTGTTTCACTGGGAGATTATACCAAATGTTTAAAGAAGTAACAATCTATTATATGCAATCTCTTCAGAAAGTAGAAGAGAAGGGAATGCTTCTTGTTCTGATGTCAAACCAAAGAAAGTGCAAATGAAAAAAAAATAGATAAGTATTCTATATGAATACACAGGCAAACCTATAAAAAAATCAACAAATAAAATTTAGCAATATATGGAAGGAATTACCAAGTAGGGGTAATTACCAGGGATTCAAGATTATTTTAATATTTGAAAATCAACCAATATAAAGCACCATATCAATAGGCTACAAGAGAAAAAAGTGTATGATTATATCACTTGGTACAGAAAAAGCATTTGACAAAATTCAGTATTTATTCATGATAAAAAAATTCAGAAAATTAGGAATAGAGAGGAAGTTTTTCAACTTGATTAAGAATGTCAACACAAATTATATAGCTAACAGGATACTAAATGATGAAAGACTAATGTTACCCCTCCATGATTGGGAACAAAGCAAAGATTTCTGATTTCACTATTCTTAATAAACACAGTATTGGAACATTTACCAGTGCAACAAAGCAAGGAAATAAATTAAAGCCATATGCTTGGAAAGGAAGAAATAACATTTTCCCAGTTTTCAGATTCTAGAATTGTGTAGAAAATACCAAATAAAAATAAATAAATAAATAAATAAACCTCTTGAGAAGTTTTGTAAGGTCTTATTCAATTTTCAGTTGTATTGCTATATACTAACAATGAATATGTGGAAACCGTTATTAAAATATAATGCCATTTATAACCATTTAGAAAAAAATATGTAGATATAAATTCACCAAATATGTACATGACTTACATGCTGAAATCTATAAACACTGATTTAAAAAGTCGTAAGTGGGAGATACATTGTATTCATGGATTGAGAAAGTCATCATAGTAAAGACATCAGTTCTCCCCAAATTGAAATCCAGTTTAATGCAAATACTATCAAATTCCCAGCAAGATTTGTTGTAAATATAAGCAAGATTATTCCAAAAATTATATGGAAAGGCAAAGGAACTAGAACACCTAAAACAATTCTGAAAAAGAAAAGTAGATGAAATCATTCCACTCAGTTTTAAAACTTATTATTTATCAAGATTGTGTGATATTGGCAAAGGGATAGAGAAAATGATCACTAGAACAGACTAGAGAATTTAGAAAGAGACCCATACCAATAGCTAACTCGTCTTTTGACAAAGGTGCAAAACTAATTCAACAGAGTAAAGATAGCCTTCTCAACCAATGGCGATGAAGTAGTTTGATACTCTTAACTGTCACTGGAGGAGTTCTCAGGACAAGTGGGATCTCAACTCAGGACAAGTGGGATCTTTGGCATACGTAAAGGAAAATAATTTCAGCATACACCAGTTTCAACAATTTAGGAAAAAAATGATACTGATATGGTCTATTGAAAGAGACAGAGAGAAAGAGCAAGAGACAGCAACCCCTTGGTTTGGGACATTAATATCTATAGAGGGACAGTACTAGGGCTGGGCTGGAGGTAGAGTCAGGGCAGAGTTACAGGGTTTCACACTAGTTTTCCTAGCCTTCTCCTCATATTACGTTGGGGGCAAGGTTGCCAGCCAAGGGCAGGAGCTGGGTTGCTCAGAAGTTGCTTGTTTTGCATTCCAGTGGTTCATGGTCATTTCCTGCATCCCAGTGGGCACTTTATTTATTTATTTTGGAGATTTAGTATATCTTTCTTTTTCTGTATCCTCAAATTCCTGTCTCAATAAACAAAACAAACTGACCTCCAAACACCAAAATGTGCCCATCAACCTAAGTCTTACATCTTAAACAAAAATGCATTCAAAATAGATCATGAACTTAATGTAAAACATAAAGCTATAAAACTTTTAGGAAAAAACCATAGAGACTATAATCTTAATCTAGGTCTAGGAAATAGTCCTTAGATTTTAGCCCCTATCCATCCATGTGGCAAAAGGCCACCTTCCATGTTATGGTTTAGATCTGGACTATCTCCTTCCAGATCTCATGTGTTCAGAGTTAGGGCTTTGGGTAGTAATTGGATCATGAGGGCTCTGACCGATCCGGTGGACTGATCCAACTATGGATGATTGGACTACTGGGACATGGGACCTGTTGGAGGAAGAAGCTCATGGGGATGTGCCCTGGAAGGGTTTATCTCCCTGCCACATTATGCTCTGCTTCCTAGCCACCATGAGGTGAGCAGCTGTCAAACAATGAAAAAGACTCGTCTTCTAAGTATTGATTAGTAAATAATTGAAATAATATTGGTAATATTGAAAAGCAATGCCGATGTCTGGGTCATCACTGTGGGAGGATGGGCTTCACTTTCTAGCAATGCAGTGATTCTTGGACCCACAGTTGCCTGGTAGCACCCACAAATGTATCATGGGAGTAATCATCTGCCATCTCATTATAGGTGTAGAAATGACTGTTATTGAAGTAGCAATGAGCATAAATGATGTTCTGAGACATCTATAATAACTGTAATGGGCTGTGAAAGTGTGGTTTCTTATGATGATAGAATCATGGGTAAGAGTATGGTTTTTTGCCTACATTCATCATTAAATCAAATACTCAATTATAGTTGGAATTCACCAAAATGACATCCCTATTTCCCAGCAAGATGATGGACTCCCTGAAGTGAAACTTCATGCTAGAGTATGTTTTATAGGCTGCTAGGAGTGTCTCAAGAGAGAGAGAGAGAGAGAGAGAAAATAAAATGAGGTGGGAGATAAAGGCAAAATGTAGAACAAAGAGAAAGCAAGGGAGCAGAGGTTCCATAAGACAGGGAAGGAATTGGTGATTCATAGGAGCGGGAACTTCTGTCCGTGTTAACAGGAGGGAAAGCTGGGGGAATGGGCACAAATTTGCTTGATTAGTCAGATGCAGTGCTCAGAAGATGAGGCTGCTCTCAGTTCATTGCCTGCATCTTTTCCAGTTAGTTATAAGGCAGGATCTTGTAACAGGGTCTCAGAAGGAGAGAGTTGAGTAAGAAGTACAGGTAAAATTGCTATTTTGGAAAATAAGAAAGTGGACAGGTTAATGGACAGAAAAGTGTTTGAGTTTGCAAGACATAGTTGAGTGACCATGGATTTCCTGTAAAAGCAGCTGGTAATTTTGTGTCTTGTTCTTGAGTAATGTCAAGCTATTAGTTGCTTATAATCCTATTGATATCTTGACAACAATAGTTTATATCATAATGTTGATAAATTCTCTAGTTATTATTTATAATTATTGTTTTCTAATAATTATTTTATGATGCCAGGCAATGTTAGGATTACATGCCTGTAATCCCAGCGACTTGGGAGACTGAGGCAGGAGGATCGCATGTTTGAGGCTAGCCTCGGCAACTTAGTGTGACCTTTAGCAACTTCGCAAGACCCTATCTCAGAATAATAAAACGTGAAAGGGCTGAGGATGTGGCTGAGTGGTAAAGTTGGAGAAAGAAGGCATTGATTCCCTGGGATCAATCCCCAATACCAAATAAATAAATAAATAAATAATGATAATAATAATAATTATTATTTCATACTATAAGAAAGGAAGATATGAGTTAATAATAACTATCTTATTAGACATTATTAGGACAGAATAAATTTGGATTTATATAACAACATGGTTGAAACAGTCAAAATTTATAATTAATTATCAGATATAGTCCTAATAATTTTTATCATGACCATAATTTCAGTATTGGAGTTCTTGAGGAAAATGTAATCATTCTTAGAAATGCTTATTAATATAAAATGTGTTTCTATGTTTTATTTCAGTATGGACCAATATTTACTGTCTTTGCTATGGGAAACCGAATGACATTTGTTACTGAAGAAGAGGGAATTAACGTATTTCTAAAATCCAAAGAAGTAAATTTTGAGCTAGCAGTACAAACTCCCGTCTATCGTACAGGTAAATAATACATTCAGGTAGTTCATTTGAAGTACAATGTTGGAATTCAAGAGAAGTTGAAGGCAAAAATTACATCCTTACGCTTCCATCAAGAATGATGAGGGCCCATTACGTTATTCTCCAGGTAGAACTAGAAGGAGAAAATAGCATGGGATGAACTTTTCTGGTCATTGAAGGGCAAATTATTGGCAGGCTGATACTTTTAGACTTCAGTTAGACATGTTGAAAGAGATGGGGTTACCTCACTGAGTGTTTTTAAAGACTATTTGGAGTGTGTATCAAGTTACAGCACCCAAAATGTTGGTAAAACTGTTCTGCAGCTGTGACGACAGCTCTTGGCTTGATTACATGTTGTTGCTCCACTTTCTGTTTAGGAAGCCCTTGAATGGCTTTTCCTGACATATCCCACAGGGCTAGTAAGGTAAGCTAGGGCCTGGCTTGCCTGTTCACAAATTCCCCATCTAATTTAGCAACTGCTGGCTTGTCCTGGGGGCGTGCTTCTACTGTGGCTGTTGGCCTTCCTTTCTTCCCAGGCTGTGGATTTGTGTGCTGAAGCTATTCGTCCTTCCCCAAATGCAAAGCTGGTTCACTCTGTGCCCATTTGTTTTCTCTGCTTTCACAATGTTTGCACTTGTTTCTACCATCTACGTCTTCTTTCTTTCTTTCTTTCTTTCTTTCTTCTTCATGTACTCTCATTCATTTCTTGCTCTTAAGACAAAAAGTTTTAAATTTCTCAGTGATCAATAACATAATTGTTTTTTTCTTCTTGCTTGCATGAAAATCACATGTTGGTTAAACACTATTTGGTGCTTAGTGATATATGGTTGTGGAATTTCTGATCAAGAAATATAAATATTTTGAAGGCTTTTAATCTGTATGGTAACATATCCTTTTAGGAAAAAAATATACTAACTTACCTATTGAGGATTATGGAAATTATCTTTTATTTTCATCTGAGCCTCTCCTGGGGCCTTTTATGTATAAATATTTCTGTTTAATAGATGAAATATGATAATAGGAGCAGGGGTTGTGGCTCAGTGGTAGAGCCCTTGCCTAACATGTAACATGGTTCGGTTCTCAGCACCGCATGTAAATAAATAAAATAAAGGTCCACTGACAACTAAAAAATATTTTAAAAAATAAATATGATAATATTTACTCTTAAGCCAGTTTCCCATTCCTTTTTAAAATTCTCATAGAGAAGATATATGCTCAGGAAATCTAGAGCTTATTTTTAATTAACTTACAAAATATAACCTACACATAATAAGATGACGAAATCTAAAATTATATTTTTATATTTGATAAAAGATACTTCAGAGACAATACAACAGATAAAAGAAAAATCTAAGGAGATATGTTTTTAAAATACCTTATATTTCGACTACCCCTACCTAACTGGAAGTGTATATTGTGAAAAGAACATGAATATAAAGGAAATAGTGGAGTCAGTTATTCATGGGATTTGAAAAGGCTTTTTGGTACAAGTAACATTCAAGAAGATACTAGAAGGATAAATAGAAATTAGCAAGAGAAATGTGGATCTTATCAATGTGGGTAGGTAGGTGGGGGTAGATGCTAGGGTAGTAAAACAAAGAATGTTTTGAACATTTTGAATAGCTTCTGAAAATGCTGGGATATGTAAAATATTATGTATTTTAAATATGCATGGAATATAGATTTAGAGAAGGAAGAAGCAGAAAACCAATCCTCTCCATCCCTTAAAGTGAGTCACCCTCTAGACTGGTGCTTTCTCACAGTATGGACTGAATCTTCACCTGCATTTACTTGCCAGATGTGATTTTATGTAAGAAAAGGATTTTGGTAATCGTCCCTACTGACCAAGAATTGGCAGAGGTATACTGTTCGTATGCTTTAAAGAGTGGTTGCTTGTTTTGAAAATAGTTTTCTCTGTTTATAGCATCAATTCCAAAGAATATCTTTTTAACACTGAATGAAAAGCTATATATTATGATGAAAGGGAAAATGGGGACCTTCAACATACAACAGTTTACTGGGCAACTGACTGAAGAGTTACATGAACAATTGGAAAATTTAGGCACTCAGGGGACAATGGAACTGACCAACTTTGTAAGGTAAATAGGTAAAATAGGTAAATAAGTAAATGTGTTTGTATGATTTAATCATGCTTTTTTGGAATTAAAAAAATTTTTTTTAATATGATACATTGGACTTTGGAAATTACTTGGTATAATGAAGTAATTAGAAACAAATTGATTCAATACAGTTAATGAAGTCTACCAAATGAGGCTATTAAAAATTTTTAAAAAATCTTAAATTTTAATTAGTGTGCAATTTTAGTTTAGCACTTCAATTTTGTTGTAAGCAAATAAGCCAATACAATCATTTTGATATATTTATAGTAATTTCTATAGCATCCTTCTAGTAATTGTGTATATGTCACATGGATGTACCTCTCACAATTATCATACAGCCACCATTCAGAGCAGTCTGTGATGATCAGACACTGAGAGGACAGGAGAGAGAAGGGAATGGTGAAGTGGATCATGAGGATCCAGGAGGTACCTGTGAGACTTCAAAAGGTAGTCCAGACAAAACCAGGGTAGGTCTCAGAACTGTTTTAAGACTGTTATCTTAGAAGGTAAGTCCCAAGAGACAGGAGAGAGCTTGGGGTCGGGGATGGATCAGCTCTGTTCTAAAGCTTTCTGGAAAAGTTTAAGGCTGGGCATGGAAGCTATGAGGGCAAATTCCCTCCACACATAAAGAGATTTAAGAGATTTGGTAGATTAGAAAACCTGAAGCTCTTTTCCACCTCAGTGGAAGTCTGGAATGCTGAAGGCAAAATCCAGCAGTTCTGACTTAAAACAGAATGATGTATAGTGGTTTCTTAGAAGTTCAGAAAGACAGGGGGGGCTGGGGAAGCAAACTCAACCAACCAAACTTAAAAATTTGCTAAAGCTTGCATAGTATCTGTAATAAAACAATGCAAATCCCTGGATGTTTTTGAAACTTTGGAGAAAAGTGATCCTAAAGGGGCATAAATATCTTTGATATTAGAATATCTTTTTTAAAATTTTTTTTTAGAGAGAGAGAGAGAGAGAGAATTTTTTTAATATTTATTTTTTAGTTTTTGGCGGACACAACATCATTGTTTGTATGTGGTGCTGAGGATCGAACCCAGGCCGCAGTCATGCCAGGCGAGCGCGTCACCGCTTGAGCCACATCCCCAGTCCTAGAATATCTTTGAATATTGAGTATTTGGGGATATTCTTTTCTTTTTTTAAAAAATATTTTGTTTTAGTTTTAGTTGGACACAATACCTTTATTTTATCTTTATATGGTGCTGAGGATCGAACCCAGTGCCCTGCCTGTGCTAGGTGAGCGCTCTAACCGTTGAGCAACAATCCTAGCCCCAGATATTCTTTTCTTAATTATGTCACATTAATCATTTTACTCACTTACAGTAAAAAAATATTAAAGATCAGAGTGTATTTCAATATGCACTAGTTTGAATATGTGGGATCCTGTGAGGAATTATGAAATCTGGTAACTACTCCTGCCCTTGATTCTCTGGTTACTTGAAAGGCAAGGGCTGTACCTTAGACATTGTTATTATTTTCTTGTTGAACTGCATTGAATCAATTTGCTTCTGTTTTTTTATCTCATATTTGTCAGGCTTTATCTAATGTGTCTGCTTAGAAAGGATTTTAGAATCTTTAGATAAATAAGACCACAATTTCAGCTATCCCCAAATCATCTTGACCACAGTTAGCAGATATTAAAAATTTTTAAGAGTGATTTTTCCAGTGGTTCCGGAGGCTGAGGCAGGAGGATTGCAAGTTTAAACTGGCCTCAGCAGAAAAGCAAGGTGCTAAGTAACTCAGTGAGACCTCATCTCTAAATAAAATATAAAATAGGGCTGGGGTGTGGCTCAGTGATCAAATACCCCTGGGTTCAATCCCCAGTAATTCCCCCACCTCAAAAAAAAAGAGTGATTTTCCCCAAAAGAAATTGTCACATAGTATCTACTCCTAATAAATAAGTCACCTCTTCGTATCTTGTACATTTCTTCTCCTGTCATTGTGTCTGCTTACTGTGTATTTCTGTCTTTGTAGGCATCTCCTTTATCCTGTCACAGTGAATATACTCTTTAATAAAGGTTTGTTTCTTACACACGAGAGGAATATGAAGGAGTTTTACCAGCATTTTCAAGCTTATGATGAGGGTTTTGAGTATGGGTCCCAGATGCCAGAATGGCTCCTGAGGTAGGTCACTGATTCTTTGTACAAGCTCCTCTCAGCAATTTATACAGTCTTCTCATTTCTATTTTTCCAAGTATATATAACAGCAATTTAAGTGGGAGAGGAGTTATTCTATGACCTGTTTGTGTTTTAGTATGTAAATGTGAATTGAGGGAGGAATGAAGAAAAGAGATGCATTTCTTTCTTTGTCTTTTTTTTTTTGATGAGCAAAATCCCGAGGGCTATGGAGTGAGAAAGAAGGGATGAAGAATTTATTTTGAGGCCTTTTATTTCACGTATAAGTTATTATTATGACACTGATTCAGTTTGGATCTATGCTAAGGCAGTGTGACCAGTCTCAGCCCCATTCTCTCTGAAGCAAAAGTAGGTATGGCCAAATGTTATTTCTTACAGTTGGTTCAGATAAATGTTTGTAAAATGGTTCAAATGCACAATAAGTGCCTAAGTTTTTAATTTCTTGGCAGTTGCTATATGCCTTCCTCCATTTGAGCTGTTTTTAGTACCATGGACTGAGTGGCTCATAAGCAATAGAAATTTATTTCTCACAGTTCTGGAGGCTGAGAAGTTGAAGATCAGGGTTGCAGCCAGACTCGGTTCTGATGAGGGCTCTCTTCCAGCTTGAAGTCTGTCCACTTCTCACTGTGTCCTTGTGTGGTAGAAGGGGTGGACAAATTCTGTCCACGATCTTTTTCAAGGAAACTAGTTCCCTACATCAGGGGATCTTCTAGAAGGTCCCGCCTCCTCATCCCATCACCTTGGAGTCTAGGATCTCAACATAGGATTTTGAAGAGGACACAAACATTTAGACTGTTGCAACGTATAATGGTGACTTGTTAAAAAGATTAACACAATGATAGCCAGTTTCTTTACAGGCATAATTTAGCAATTGGTCTCGGTGCCAGGTTTTCCTCCTTTAAAACTTAGAACAGTCATAGCGAAAGTAATCCAAGCAAGTTGTACAATCTCATTTCTTCTTCAATGCCAATCCATTAGGAATCCAGATGTTCATTTTGCAAAAGTCTAAAATGTGTTTCCCTTTGTCCTCTCAGTTATCCTTGTGAACATATGAGGTAGACCTCACATGAAATAGACCTCATATTAAAGCCTACCCCAAAATAAAGAAGAAATTAGAAGAAATAATTATAATTCCATGGACATTCTCTGTTTTATACTATGACCCATTACTCCTAACATGCTTTCAAATTAATTTCTACACACATATTTTTTCCTCATGCAGAAACTGGTCAAAATCCAAAAGGTGGCTCCTAGCCCTATTTGAGAAAAGTATTCCAGATATAAAAGCATATAGATCTGCAAAAGATAATTCTGTGGTAAGTATTCTTTAGCTTCTTTTGCTAAAATACATGTGATGAAGATGGTGATAAACTATGATTTGTAAAAATATTTTTACTAAATATCATGTGTTTAATTAATGCTACTTTTATGCCAAGTGGATATACTGGACATGTTGACATATGTTATTATTATATCCTCACAACACTGAGGTTATCAATCCTATTCTACACAAGAAAAAACAGAGGCTACCAATGAAATAAAATTCTAATATTCTTTATATGTCATTATATAGTTGACTGTGTCAAAGGAAAAAAATTAATCTAGTTTAAAGATCTTAATAGACCTTATTTTGCAATTCTAGAAAATAGAATAAATATTCTGATAGGCTGAGCAGAAAAGGTTGGTTCCATAGATAGAACCAAAACAAACTAATAACAACAACAACAAAAAAAAAAAACAGAAACAAAGAGCAAAAATATAATCATTGGTTTCAAAGTCACTTCCCATAAAGATGAAGGACAGGGAGAACCATATAATGACTACCTGGGCATGGTGGCACACATCTGTAATCCCAGTGGCTTGGGAGGCTGGGTCAGGGAGTTTTCAGGTTTGAGGCCAGCCTCAGCAACTTAGTGAGGCTCTAAGGAACTTAGTAGGAGCTAAAAAAAAAAAAAAATGCTGAGGAAGTAGGGATGTGGCTCAGTGGTTAAGCACCCGTAGGTTCAATCCCTGGCACCCAAAACAAAACAAAACGAACAAACAAAATAGAATGACTGATTGGTTAATATCAGATCACTTCTGGTTACTTTTTGTAAGGATTAATGGAGTTAAGGATTAAAGCAAAGGGAACTTCATGTTGTGCCTATTGGTCTGTTTGGGAAATTTGTCTGTCAGTCATTCTCCTGATTTCTTGGAAAGTCAGAGCACAACTTTATTATGGTTTGATGATGTATAACTTTAGCCTGGGTGACTCCATTTGATTTTTAGTCTGGTCTCTAGGGGTCCAGTGCAGGAATTTAGTCCAAAACAATAGCCTTTGATAATTTTTATTTAACAGCTATGCCAATAGTGACAGGATGGACTAATAGCAAGTTTGGACAGATAATAAAGCTCTGTAAAGTAGACCGTGATGCTGAGGCCACGACCACCAGCTGTTCTTTCTTTAGAGAAGATAGAATAGTATGATTTAAGTGCCAAGTACTAGGACCAGTGCCCTCAATGTTAGTCTATGCCTGTGGTTCTTCCCTGAATCGAAAGCTCTGGGGTAGATGGAGCCCAGCAATTCAGTTTCACAAGCCTTTCCAGGTGTTTCTGAGGTTTTCTAGTGCATGGTTTTCACCCTGACAGTAATTAGAATCACCTCTAGGAACTTTTGATAATGATCTGATCTGTTGCATGCCCCCCGCCCCCCAAGAACCTGGGTTTCTTTTGGTCTGGGCTGCTTGGACTCAAATGTGGTCACCAGTTGTGACCACAGGCAATATCTGAACTCTTGGCCTCAGTTTCCTCACGTATCTCATAGAGTCATTGTGGGGATTAAATGAGTTAATTTTTAAGTGCTTAAAACATAGTAAGGACTAGTTAAGAGTTCAGCACTGTAATCATTTTAAAAATCACTTCAACTCTTTTCATACTTAAAGATGACATCACTTGTCATCTTTACTTGTCTTTAGTTGTACAATAAGAGTTGTCCCAAACAACTTAACTCTGGAGAAGAATAGAGGCTTAGAAGAACAAAATATGTGAATGCTCACACGTCTCCCTCCTAAAGAAAGAAACAGAATGCTATTCTGGAATACTTCTCATTGACAGAAATGCTCAAGAAACATGTCCTTTTTACAGATACACATAGACAAACATACATTTTTGTTTGTAATGCTTTCCAGGGGTTAGGGACAGAGAAATATATGTGTGTGGAAGGTAAACCCACATCTGTAATCTATGAGCCTAGAAAATAGGATTTTAAAATCTCAAGCTAAAATTCTTTATATCTGTAGAATAAAGTTTATTTTTCTTACTGTAAAGAAACGAGGCATTTTAAATCATAAGTACTTTGGTTCCCTATTTGAATAACAACAAAATCTGAACTTTGCATAAGTTAACCCAACATTTGAGACTTTGGGGAAAAAATATCTAGCTTCAACATTCATGGACTTCATTTTTTGTTGTATTGTTTCTCTGTTTTTCTTCAGCAGTGTTCATTCTGAGCTTGTCTCCCTCCACCCACCACTATCTTTTTTTTTTCTTTAATGTGGGCTTGGAAAAAAATAAAGAATTTTTTTTTAATATTCTACTATATAAGGACTGATTTGCAGAACACTAGATAGAAATTGTATTTAAAAATATATATTTAAAAAAATTATACATGGTATTTTAAAATACATGTATATATTTTAAAATATATATTTAAAAATTATACATATATTTAAAAATTATACATGTATTTTATTATAAAAGAAATGCAAATTTTGATGATCTTCCATGTTATTCTATATATATATATTATACTGATTTTTTTATTTAAAATCATCACACCACAGAATAACATGTAAGAAGAATGAAATACACCTATAAGATTTTCATGAGATAGAACTTATATTTGTAACAACTTACAGTACAAAGAAGTAAATGAGATTTATACTTAAACCATTTTTATTTCTGTTAATCCATTATTATAGAAGTGATAATGAGATGGAAGCTTATATGTATTCAGTACTTATTCTGTACCAGTCACAATGTTACCTTTTACAAAGTAATTTCAAATTTATTTATTTATTGGTACTGGGAACTGAACCCAGGGCCACTTTACCACAGAGCTACTTTCCCAGCCCTTTTTAGTTTTTATTTTGAGACAGAGGCTTGCCACGTTGCTTAAGGCCTTGCTAAGTTGCTGAGACTGACTTTGAACTTGTAATCCTTCTGACTCAGCTTCCTGAGTTGCTGGGATTACAAGTGTGCACCACCACACTGTCAAGGGGAAGCTTTTAAAGATGAAAATAAGAAGGATTACATTAGATATTTTTTAGTTAATTTTTCATTTATATATGACAGCGGAATGCATTACAATTCTTATTACACATATAGAGCACAATTTTTTCATATCTCTGGTTGTATACAAAGTATATTCACACCAATTTGTGTCTTCATACATGTAATTTGGATAATAATGTCCATCACATTCCACCATCATTTCTAACCCCGTGTCCTCTCCCCTCCCCTCCCACTCCTCTGCCCTATCTAGAGTTCATCTATTCCTCCCACGTTCCCTCTCCCTACCCAACTATGAATCAGCCTCCTCATATCAGAGAAAACACTCGGCGTTTGGTTTTTTGGGATTGGCTAACTTCACTTAGCATTATCTTTTCCAACTTCATCCATTTACCTGCAAATGCCATGATTTTACTCTCTTTTATTTCTGAGTAATTTCCATTGTGTATATATGCCACATTTTTTAATCCATTCACCTATTGAAGGGCATCTAGTTTGGTTCCACAGTTTAGCTATAGTTAATTGTGCTGCTATGAACATTGATGTGGCTGTGTTCCTGTAATATGCTGTTTTTAAGTCCTTTGGGTATAGACTGAGGAGTACATTAGATATTTTAAGCAATTAATCTTTGTTCCTGGATTGCTTACATTTTCCTAAGAGCAGAAATGTATTTTTTTAAAAGGTAACATTTATCGTAATATGAACCAGGTTTTGCTCCAGGCATTTTATAGGTAACTGCATAAATTAATTTAATTCTCACAACAATCTTTAAGGTAGATGCCATATTATGTGCATTTGACAGATGAGGAAACTGAGGTACTAAGAGCTTAAATTAGCTTGTCCAAGGTCACTCACCTCTTAAATAGCAGAACCAGGATTTGAAACAAGACAGAAATGCAATTGAACTCCACTGGAGTTGCTATTCCTAATTGATATACTACCAGCAAGTACATCAATCCCTTAGCATGCCTCAAATTGAAGTCTGGAAATGACAAGGATATTTTCTTTTGTATTAAATAAAAATGCATACTTTTATGCTTATTGTTATCTCTCTTTGTCACATAGCCATGGTTTGACAGTATTTATTTATTTTAAACAGACATTAATGCAGGCTGTGCTGGAGATTCTGGAGATGGAAACAAATAAACTAAATCCAAATTATGTGTTGCTAATGCTTTGGGCTTCTCTGTCAAATACTGTTCCTGTAAGTATGTAATAAAATGTGGGCTGCATTTCTGTCTACTGGACTTTTATTGCTCTTTTTCTCTCAACCCACCCTCCTTTAGTTCTTTCACTTATGGGGAAGACTACAATGGTTTCAGTTGTGAGATAAAAAACAAAATTGAATGCCCAATGAAATATGAGTAGGTCACAAAGGAGGCAGAGCAAAGATCCAAAGTGAATCCTCTGATAGGCAATGTGTACAGGCCAAAAGGAAAGCTTGCCCTTTGTAGCCACAGTGACAACCCCTGTTTATGGAGCACTTGTTACGTGCAAGCTATCTGCTCAGTATTGATGCCACACAAGGTTTGGCCCCAGCCTTTTATGGGGGAAAGAGTAGAGGAATGGAGAGTTTCAGATAGAAATGGTTTAAATCCAGACATCCTCAATCACAGCTTAAGGTAGAATCTTAAGGTAGAACTTAAATTCTTTGTGGCTCCATTTCCTTATTGATAAAGAAATAAAGTCCCCAAAACTCTAGTACAGTCCTAGGTCTTGGGTACTCATTTCTCTATACACTTCCCTTTCTCTAAAAAGTTGCTGTGAGGATTCAGCAAGATGATCTCAGCTGGTACCCAGTAAATGTGGGCTCTTTCTCTCCCTCCATACCTATTCTGAGCACTATCACCACTTGCAAGACTTGGCCTCTCAGTCCTGCACACTTCCCTGACAATGGGGCTCATGACATTGGAACTCAAAATACATCTGAAGAGAACAGAGGATTTCAAAAACTATTTCCTTTTAAAGCTGTCATGAGTTAGGTTAGAGCCCTGAGATTTCTCTGCTACTTCCATTAGTTTCCTGATGAGGAGGCTTTCACATTAGCCTCACTGTTCCTGATGTTACCCAGAATTACAGGTGAGACCCTTTTACATATTAGTTTCCTACCAAACAGGCACATTCAACCCATTTCTAATGATAAGTGTCATTTTCTTTCTTTTTCTTCTAACAAATAGAAATAAAGAAGATGTTTTCAGTATTATTTATTTTCCTTCTTCTTTCTAAAGTGGGTGGCTAATAGATTTCTTAAGTCCTGATATCCCAGTTTCTCTTTGGTTGGTGTAAAAAAAATTTTTTTTTGGGGGGGGAAATAGAGACTGTAACTCTGTTCTCTCTGATCAAATACATGTCAGCCACGAGTATATATACATTTCATCTAAATGGCTAAGTAAAAATAGTGTAATCCCTTCTCCTGCTTTACAGACCTCTCTAATGTTATTCTCTATTTTTCCTTATGATTTTCTTGGATACTGTTAAGTTGCTACAAAATTTGAAAAGCAAACATCAAAACAATTCCCAAAGCACCAACCAAACAGCCTCTCCTGTCAGAGATTTAATTTTCAAGATCTAATTAGAAGGGTCCCCCGGAAGAAAGCCTCACAAAGGGACATTGATCTGACACAGAGGAAGTCAGTTCTTTGGAATTTGTTCCTGGCACTGATCTGAAAGGATTTAAATCGTTCATTTCAGAAAGGATGTGTCTGATTAGCAAAAGTTCCATCTTGCTGGCTTTTAATGGCACTTTTAAGAGGCAGCCTGGTGTGGGAGCAGAGTCTTGGGAAGGTTGTTGGGTCAGATACAAAGCTAGTTCCCAGCTCTGGGTGAGAGTGGGCCTCTTATTTAACCCCTCCAGTCCTCAGTGTCCACATCTGTAAAATGGGATTGAGGTGTCTACCTCAAAGGATAGTTGTGTGTGTTTTACTGGAAGAAATGGAAAGTGGCTACCAGCTGGCACAACGTAGGTGGCTCAATAAATGCCAATTTTCTTCCCTTGCAAAAATCATCACCTAAGTTTTAATTGATGATTAATTTCAATTAGTAATGAATGTAGATTGCCCTGGCTTCCAAAATACTTGATTTCTCAAAGGTCCAGGATGGGAGTGACTCTGATGACCTTCTGTTGCTGCCAAGAGAGCTGCTGAAGCCCTGCCAGAGATGGTGGTGGGTGTGTCCTTTCTTGGAGCCTGGATTATTTCATTATCACCTGCTCCTACTTTGTACTCTGTCTGAAGGCCTCTGGGAATCAGACCTCACATTTCAAAAGGACTTGGTACCCGTGTACTAGGAGGCTTTGTGAACTGACTGCAAAGTGAGCTTTTTTAGAACATTTCTCCAAACTAGTCGCAAAGCTGACATTTTACCTTTTTATCTGCCTCTCTGAAATTCTTTCGAAGTGCTTTCAGTAGCAATCTCCATCTGGTCCCACTCACTCCCACAGTATTTGTTGTCTGTACCACATGGTGGCACTTTCAGTGTCTTGTACATTTAGCTCCTTTCCCCCCTGTTATGTGTGTCTCATATCCCCAATTTAGAAGACAAAGTTCTTCTAATTCTAAATATGCCTTATGCATATTTGTGGACTGTGATTGGTAGAAGACTATCTGGCCTGTTATGGAGACTTTATCAATATGTGTTAAATCATTTTTGGATGGACGAGTAAAAGATGCTGGGGGACATAATTCATCTTCTCTTGACCCAGCACAGGACAAAGCTTTCCTTCTTGTCTCTTCTCACTGTCGTTGTTAACCCTCCAAAACAATGGAGGGGCATTGTGGCAGCAGCTTCTGCTGTTCAGTGGGTCAGGTGGCCTTTCTTCTTTTTGCCTAGCTCTGACCATGGAATTGACCCCTTTGGCAAAATAGCAGTTGGTACTGTTGGGAACAACAGTTTTTGACTCTTTTTCCCCAAATGCAAGTGCACAGTGACCTCAGGGTCACCTGTTCTTGCTTATTGATTCAGTATTACCTATAAACTTGTATGAATTCCTTATTCTCTTTTGTATATCTTGTCTTACATTTTAAAGTGGAAAATAACAGAGTTTTGAAAAAGAAAAATTTGTTAAGAAAAAAGAGGCCTTAAAAATGGTAACTTAACACCATTGCACAGCCATCTGTAGTTTAGCTGGATTCCTTGTGTTTGTCCTAAAAATAAATATTAACCAATCTTAGTAAACCTCCAAAAGTACTATAGGCACATAAAATCTGAACTCTCTAGTATATCTAAAAAATGGTGTATCTGTGCGCCTATCACCAGAATTCCCCTCCCAAGTGAACTCTGACTCTTCAAATACAATAAATTGGACATGGAGTTGTTATATAATTTTTAATTATTGACATTAATTATACAAATTAATGTGATTTATTGTGGGATTTTCATAATGCATGCATTTTGCATTGATCATGCCCATCCACACTTCTTATATCCTTGCTGCCCAGCCACCCACCCTTTCTAGGCTAGAGTAATAACTCTTCTACTTTCAGGTAAACATTTTTAAAACATTTTGACATAGGAGAGAGAACATGTGATTCTTGTCTTTCTGTGTCTGACTTGTTTTGCTTAACATGATAACCTCCACTTCTGTCCATTTTGCTGCAAATGACAGAATTTCATTCTTTATGGCTCAGTCCATTGTACTTATATACCACATTTTTTAAAAAAAATCCATTAATCAGTTGATGAGCAACTCAGATGATCCCATATCTAAGCTATTGTGAATAATGCTACATTAAAAATGGGTATGTAGATATCTCTTTGGTCTGCTAATTTCACTTTCTTTGTCTATATTCCCCAGGAGTGGAAGAGTTGGATCACATGGTAGACCTATTTTGGGTAATTTTTGTGAACCTCCATAATGGGTATATTAATTTACATTCTTACCAACAGTGTATAAAAAGTTCATTTTTTCCCACATCCTCATCAGCTTTTGTTATTTTGAGGGGTTTTGTTTGCTTGGTTTTGGTAACAGCAGTTATAACTGAGGTGAGATGGTCTCTTCTTGTACTTTTGATTTGGGTTTACCTGATGGCTAATAATATCGAGCTTTTCTCCATAATTTAATTGGCCATTGTATTTCTTCTTTTGAGAAATTGTCTATTCGGATCAGTTGCCCAGTTTTAAATGGGATTACTTTTTTTGTTGTTAAGTTTTTCATGCTCTTATATATTCTATAAATTAACTCCTTTTCACACGTAGAGGTGGCATATTCTCCCCTTCTGTAGATTGTCTCGTCACTCTGTTGATTATGTCTTAAACTGCACAGAAGCTTTTTAGTTTATTTTAATCTTAGTTGTTATTTTTCATTTTCGTTTCCAGTGCTCTTGGGGGGCTATCCAGAAAATCATTGCCTGTACCAATGAAGAACATACCCTAAATTTTCTTGTAGTTTCATGTTGTATATTAGTCTTTGATCCATTTTGAGTTGACTTTTTGTACAGGGTGAGAGAAGGGGATCAAGTTTCAAACTTCTGTATGTGGATATTCAGTTTCCCCAGGACTACTTGTTAAAGAGACTGTCCTTTGACCAATCTGTTTTTGGTACCCTTATTAAGAATAACCTGGCTGTAGATGTGCGGATTTATGTCTGGGTTCTTTGTTCTGTTCCATTGATCTGTGTCTGTTCTTAAGCCAATACCATACTATTTTGGCTACAATGACTCTGCAATATGTCTTCAAATCAGGTATTATGATACCGCTCTTTTTTGTTCCTTTTGTTCAAGATTGCTTTGGCTCTTTGGGGTCTTTTATGCTTCCATAGGAATTTTAGAGTTGTTTTTCTAGTTCTGTAAGAATGTCATTATATTTTGATGGAGATTGCATTGAATTTATAGATCACTTGGGTATTATGGACATTTTCACAACATTAATTATTCTAATTCATGAGAATGGGAGATCTTTCCTTTTATTTGTTTTTAAAATTAATTTTTGTATCATCAATCAATGTTTTACAGTTTTCATAGTTAAAAGTCCTGAATTCCTCTGGTTTATTCCTAGTTTGTTTATTTATGTAGCTATTGCAAGTGGATTGCTGTCATGATTTTTTTTTCTTGGAAAATTCATTATTGGTGTATAGAAAAGCCACTGAATTTTAGCCTTGATTTTGTATCCTGCTACTTTACTGAATTCATTTATCAATTCTAATAGTCTTTTGGTGAGGTTTTCTGATGTGTAGAATCATATCACCTGAAGAAAGGGATAATTTGACTT